TCCCCGCCGGCCAGTTTCCCGGCAGCTAATTCGATCAATGGGCCTCTGCTGCTGCTCAAGACGCAAACAACCATCATACGATGACTATTCTGATGACTACTACTACTACGGTATCCCAAACCGGGCCCCACCACCTCCACCTCCTTCTCCATCGCCGCCACCGGCCTCGCCGCCGCCTCAGCCAAAGCTGACGCGGTCGGCGACCCTTCCACCGAGTGCGGCGGTGGGGCCCGTTCTAGAGAAGCCATTGGTGGACATCACGGCATTGTACGATTTCGGGGCGGAGCTGGGGAGAGGGCAGTTCGGGATCACGTATTCGTGCACGGAGAAGTCCACCGGATTAACCTACGCATGCAAGGAGATCTCTAGAAGGAAGCTTGTGGGCAAGAAGAACATTGATGATGCAAGGAGGGAAATTAAGGTATAATATAATGCATGTTTTAATTGAACTTTCACTACTAATTATAAAAAAAAATTAATTAATTAAAAGAGTATTACATAAATTTAATATCAATAGGTTTGTTTTGAAATTTTATTTTTGAAATACTCTGATATCATATTTCATACGGAGTATATCCTAATAAACTCTGATCTCTTCAATTCCTCCTATAATTATCTTCTCATTTTCTTTTTGAGTCGTTCCAAAATTTTCTTCCACTCTTAATTTCTTTTTTTAGAAATGATTGCGGGGCCCATATATTTATTTTTTATCTACCCAAATAATATCTACAAACGTTACACTTTATTAAAAATCGTACAACTTATTGTTCTTTCTTTTATATTCTTGCGCGGTGTTGCAATAAACAAGGTGTTGGAGTACTTGAGCGGACAACCGAACGTCGTGGAGTTCAAAGGGGCGTACGAGGACCGGAGGTCGTTGTACGTGGTGATGGAGCTTTGCTCAGGCGGGGAGCTGTTCGACCGGATAACGGACAAGGGGAGTTACTCGGAGAAGGAAGCAGCAGAGATTGGGAGACAGGTTGTGAATGTGGTTCATGTTTGCCACTTCATGGGAGTCATACATAGAGACCTCAAACCTGAGAATTTCTTGTTCTCTAGCAATGATGAACACTCTCCCTTGAAGGTCATTGATTTTGGATTGGCTCTCTTTTTTGAAGAAGGTAACATATGAACATCTTAATAAGCTGGTCACATAAATGAACAACATCTTAATAAGTACTCCCTTCGTTCCAAAATACTCCGTAACTGTCTATTAAGGTTTGTTAGATACATTAGATTTCGAATGAATACAGACATACGTAAGTCTACATTCATTCAAAATCTAATGTATCTATTATTTTTTTAATAGACAGTTATTGTGGAATAGAGAGAGTATGTGAGGGTATGTTTCAAACATGATTTGACAAACAACAGAGAAAGTTTATAGAGGCATTGCCGGAAGTGCTTTCTACGTCGCACCGGAGGTGTTGCAGAATAGATATGGGAAGGAGATAGACGTATGGAGCGCCGGAGTTATTCTATATATCCTTTTGTGTGGACGACCTCCTTTTTGGGTGGGTAAGTTATACTTAATCTGTCTCTAAATTAAATTCTCATTTCACGCGAAGGAACGTAAAAAAACGAAGTCATATTTAATCTGTCTCAACTTATTTTCAATAAACTCCGTGAAAAAAATTGATGAAAACTTTATTTTGAGACGGAGAAAATCGATGAAAAATGCATACAAGAACAAAAAAAAGCATTTGTAAAGCCATTTTGCCTTGCCCAATATATGTATACTAATTCTTTGCGTGCTATACTCAAGATAATGAAAAGGGCATATTTAAAAAAATATTGGGAGGAGAAATTGACCTCCAAACACAGCCTTGGCCTTCTATATCTTCTGATGCAAAGGATCTTATCACAAAGATGCTGTGCATGGAACCGAAGAAAAGGATAACTGCAGCTCAAGCCCTTGGTGAGTGAAGGGACTGTTTGGAAGGAAGGTTTTGCCTATATATCTTCATAATATTTCATGCCCCCCTCCGTCCCAATTTAGATCGTCATTAATATTTCTAAAAAAAAATATAATGATATCAAATTAAAGTATACCTAAAATATACTTTATCGTCAAAATTCTGTCCTAGTTCGTGAGCTTTGACCAAAAAAAAGTCAAACAGGCAGAGTAAATTGGGACCGAAGTACATGTTTTGGGTTTGTCGATAAATGTATATTTGGACCGTTACAGAACACCCGTGGCTGAAGGAAGACGGCAAAGCAACGGATTTACCGATGGATAGTGCAGTTCTGAGCAGGATGAAGAAATTCAGAGCAATGAACAAGATGAAGCAGCTTGCTATGAAGGTTGTAATAAGATAATAGTAACTGCTAAAGTAACCCCAAACCTCTTTCACATAGTCCATAATCAGATAATGATGGCTTATAGAGTAAATATAGGATCTAATGGAAATAATTGTGCAATAAAATCCATTTTTTTTGTTTGGGCATTGCTTTGAAAAGGTTATTGCAGAGACATTAGCAGAAGAGGAGATTATGGGGCTGAGAGAGATGTTCAACAACATGGACACAGATAGGAGCGGAAGTATCACATGTGAAGAACTCAAAACTGGATTAGCCAAGCTTGGATCTAAACTCCCAGAGGCTGAAATTCAACAACTGATGGAAGCAGTAAGAATTCCACTACTACCCTCGGAGCGGAAATATTTGGGAGTTAAAAAAAAATCAAAATTTTCTGTTTGTTTTTTTCTGCAACAACTTATTTTCCTATGATAAAACGGAGACGAAGTTGGACATATGTTTTCAGAAGAAAGCATTTATATGATCATCTAATTCCTGGAAATACATATAAATCTTTATTTTTCCTAGGCTGATGTGGACAAGAATGGAACCCTAGACTACCTTGAGTTCATCACTGCCACCATGCACCGCCATAAGCTTGACAAAGAAGATAACTTGTTCAAGGCTTTTCAACATTTTGACAAGGATGACAGTGGGTATGTATCAATACTATTCATATTTATGAATATTAATATTATCTACTCTCTCCGTCCCAAAAAAGGGCTCTTCAATTGACTCGACACGGAGATTAAAAAGAGTGAAAACTGCTATTGACTTTCCAATGGTACCCTTGGATGATAAGTGGAAGAGGTAACTGAGTAGTGGGTATATGTTGGATGCTAAAATAAGTGAAGGGCATAAAAGAGAAAGCAGCACAAACATTTCCTTTAATAAAAGAGGCCAAACGTTTTATAGGGACAATCCAAAAATGAAATGACGAACATTTTTTTTTTGGGGGGGGGGGGGGGGGGAGTATTATACGAGTATTAATTATTACGGAGTATTAATACCGGATACATTTTTTTACTTACCAGATACATAACAAGAGAGGAGCTTAGACAAGCAATGAGTGAATATGGCATGGGAGATGAAGCCACCATCGACCAAATCCTTCAAGATGTAGATACAAATAAAGTAAGTATATAATTGAAGCCTATCATCTTCTTCCACTATATAGAGTTCCTTAAGTATTAGAGACACACCTGAAAGCCACCATTCTTTGTTGATATTCTGGCTATGCAGGATGGGAACATAAACTATGAAGAATTTGTACAGATGATGAAATTGGATGGAAGAGATGATTAAGGGGTGAGAAGAGATGAGATTCGTAATCAGAGGATACGTTTTCGTTCTGGATTTTTGTTCACCTTCACTCTCTCTCCTTTAAAGAATGTTCAGCTAACAACAACAACAACAAACTCAGTTGAATCCCACAAAAAGTGGGGTCCGGGGAGGGCAAGTGTATGCAGAGCTTACCCTACTTTGAAAGTAGGGAGGCTGTTTTTAAAAAGAAAGTTCAGTTATATAAAAAAAAAAGCTTTGGATGATGCACAAGGAAAGTCGACAATGGATTCGTAAAAGTGGGCATCAGAAGTCCAAACTACCACACTGCTTGCTCTGCAAATTCTTGGTCCCATTTTCTTGATTCGCATTCTTGGAATTATTGAGTTCTCGGCGACGCCCAATCCCCAGTTTGGGTAAGCCCCGGTTTAGCCCATCCAGCAAAACACAAGCTTTGCACCATTTCTGTGTATTTAAGAAACAAAAGAATAATGGTTCATTCTGTAAGTGTATTCAGCTTAAATGGCTGAATTTTGTGAATAGGAAAAAGTTTCAAAACATCGATAATCCATAATTCCATATTACCCAAATAAGTCACCAGCTTATTTTGATAATAGGCCTGAAAATATACTCCCTTCGTATTTCATCTTTCTTTCAGATTTCCTTTTTGGGTTGTCATATATAGAAATATTATTCACCTTTCCCCATGCCTTGAATGGAAATATTATTCAGCTTTTTACAACCAAAAGACTACTTTACCCTTATTTTTGCACTATTCCCTTTTTACATCTCTTCTATTTACTACACCAACAATGCAAAAATGGAAAGTCGAACATTTTTCAGCTTATGTTAAAAGCATTCCAAGTGAAAACGAGAAAAAGATATGGGATGGAGGGAGTACATTGTAAAATTATCTACTTTTGTTTTTACCTGGCTGGAAATATAACCGCACCGTTCACAAGTTCCGAGTTCAGGCATTTTTGTGGAAGTAGAGATCCGGAAGTCCTCGCCAGATTTAATAATATCCAATATGCCCCTGGGCCTGTAATGGACCGTAAACAGATAGATTAGTCAAGGAAAAAAAATTTGAGATCCCTCTCCCTCCCCCTCCCCCTCCCCCTACCCTCATTTGTTCTTAAACTCCGTGAAGTCAAACAATGAATTTAAATTTGGGACAAATGGAGTATATTTTAACCTGATTCTCTCTAAATCCTTAATGAACTCACGAGCAAAGCCACGGTATGCATTTGGAGAATAAATACCTGAATCACACGAACCAGTTGTGATACCACCAAAAAATACAACATATAACATTAACAAACCCAGTAAAGTCCCACAAAAATTAGAGCCCACAAAAAGTAGAGTCTGAGGAGGGTGTATATACGTGCCTACCATAATAGAGAGGTTTCCAAATAGTAGAATCTAAAAGTATTACAATAACCCAAATAAAAGATGTAATATAGACTTACATTCAGTGGAGAAGTAATCCAACTTTTTGAAGTATGCGTACGTATTCATTAGGTTAAAGAAATGCAGTTAATAATAATATCAGAATTAAAAAAACAACAATTATGTATGCACGCGTAAAAGACATGCAGTGAATGAAGGATATATAACAATTTCCTTCTCGTATGTGTATTTGAAAGGCTTGCACCTTGGAATCGGTCCATCTTCTCCAGTAATTATAGATGTACATCTACTCAACCTACAGTATTTTAAGATTATTAACTGCAGTAACTCTTTACAAATGAAGCACATGAAGAAATAATAAATCAAAAGCATAAACTTAAACCTCATTTGGAAACAACATTTTGGATAATTTTTAATGGTGCAAATTAGCTTTGAAAACGCTAAAGCTAATTGCTGCCGTTCGATAGCATATACAAATGCTAAAGTTGTTGCCAAACGGGCACTTAAAAAAGCCTGTTACCTGGCAATATCACCACGCAAAATATTCAAAAGAACGGTTTCTGCTATATCATCTGCATTATGGCCGGTCACTAGCTTGTCTACTTTCAGCAAAGCAGCACCTCGGTCAAGGGCCTTCCCTTATAATTAAGAAAAAACAGAACTTAACTACAAAATGCACTAAGGCTCTGTTCTTTGGGTTGAAAAAATAGGGTTGGATGTAACAAGAAGAAATTCGAAGGTGTTGGAAGAAACTTGAAAGAGTTNGAAGACATCTGTTAGAAAACTAAGAATGACTAACAGACAAGACAAGATTATTGAATCTATCTTAGAACCAACTCAACCAAAAACATAATTTGATGATTGGAGGTGCTTAAATCAACATGGAGACTATTGAGAATTGAACTCATGGCCTCCAGGTGAATTAGTCTGTTATACCATGCCAAAAAACCAACTTAATTAAAAGCTTAATCTAATTGATCGAGGTTCTAGGATAATCAAATATTTCCTGGCATCAAGAATAAAAATCAGAACTTATCCTATTAGTGAGGTTCGTTTCATTCTTGTATCTACTCTATTTTGTTTTAAAATTGTAATTAAACATGAAGAAAATTAACATCTGACCACTCTGCTTCTGATCTGGTTTGATTCCAATAAAAATAAATAATCACCAATAAGAATAAGTTGAAGAGAACATGCTCTAATACTAGTTGACTTGGGATAAAAAGTAAACATGACATAGAGACCCTAATATTATTCTAATTTCTAAACTGTAGTGTCTACTACTCTACTATTATCCCCACAAGCTGAGCCGAGCTTTTTGCTAAGGGAAGCTTGGAGGCAAGATAAGTGAAGGCTCACGATGGGAGATGCTTATAGAGAATGAATAATTATATTGATCAATTGAATAAGGAGCATACATGAGAGTATATATATAGACTAATCCTAATATTATTATAAACTGTAGTATCTGTTATTAAACTCAATAGTCACACAATCATATAAAAAGACTGTTTGGGTGTTCTTATTTCTTCTAAAAAGTAATTATTTCGACAACAAAATTTAAAAGCATCTCACTTCTTCGTCGCTAAAAAAAAAGCTGAAAATCAAACACACTCAAACATTCCAACTGCTTAAGAAAGAAACTAAGAATAAATTTTTAATCAATCCCGAAAACCTTCAAAGCACATTAATTTTTTAAGGTGCATATTCAAAGCTATGGAGTGAGTACAGATTGCAGAATTACTTTAAAAGTATGAAATTAATTAACTTCAATCCAAATATTTCTACATGGGTGAACTAAACAGGGAGTAAAGTTGGGACCTTTTCCACCGGAGGCGCCAATCGCGATGCGTTCGCCGGGTTTGAAGAGATTGTTGTCCACGATAACCCTATGGATCTCATCTTCAAAAGCTGCGTAGAAGCACTCTCTGCATATCTGTGCTTGGGGGGAAACGGAAGAACCGGTAAGAAGAATAGATGGATAGGTGATGAGACGGGAAGCGGCGACGATGACTATCACTTACTGGCTGAAGGTTTTTAGGGCGTTTCAGGGCGGCGCGTCTTTCGTTGCAGATAACGCACAGTCTACCCTTCGGCTTCGCCGCCGGCGCCGCCGATTCCATGAAGATGACCACCGAACCGAGTCCCCCTTAATTCGCCCGGGTATGCAAGCACAAATATTTTTACCCTAGTTTAAATTTTCATTTTAAAATTATTTTATACTATTTAATTTTTTTTATTGAAGTTCACAAATAGTAAGTTTGTGAAGTTTGTAACCATTGTATTTGTGAACTAAGGATTTCCCTTCTACCAAACTGTCAATTGTATAGATCTAGGACTAAAATAATAAAGATTTTTCTAGACCATATACTTTATTTTCCAATGTAAGATTATTAGTCATTATCTATTAGTTTTTATTCAAGTAAATATCTACCATCACTAGACATTATTTCTCTTACTAGACACTATTAAGTTCTATTTGGAGAACAAAAAAAAATTAAATTCTACATTAAGAAATTACTTATGTTTTAATCTTATTTAGTGTAAATTTTTCCATATAAATATATGTTATACGAGGTATCAATTTTGTTATAATTTTAAACATACTCCATACATAATAAAAAATTGAAGAATTGTTTTTTAATTAAAAATTATGTCAATTATTTGAGAACTTTGAGATTTTTCACATATTAAACTTTTTATAATACTACTCCATCAATTTTTTACACGAATTTGCTCAATTTAAGCCTAAATGTAACTTTCTACTCAAACTCAACATGTAACTACTTGAGATTAAATTTTATTCAAAATTTATCTACTTTTCTTACAAAGAAACAAATAGATAAATCTAAATTCACTCTCAAATACGATACACATGTTGAGTGTGAGCAGACCATTTACAATTATGTTACATTTAGAAGTAAATGTACAAAAGCTTTTGCCATTCTCTATTTTATTATCATTGGCTATCATTATTTCCTTAAGAAACAAAATTAAGAAAATATTTAATTAATGTTTTTTCAATTTACTTTTTAACTTATTACTTATTTTTATTACAATAATTAGAAATAATTTTAAATATAATTAAATTGAGATCATATCAGAACTCATTCTAATCAGATAAGATGAAGAGAACATGGTGTTAAAGTTATTTCCACCATATGTATTACAAGCGTGAGGGTTAAGTGTGATTTAGAAAATGAATAGATTCACAAAATAGTACTTGCTAACTATATATTTTTCTCAAATTAGCTCTCAAAATAAACTATTTATCGAGATAATACTCGTTAATTGAAAATAATTCCTAATTTAGTCTCCTCGACTAACGCCCTTCAAAACAACATCAAAACGGCTTTGGACACATACTAATTTTCTAAAATGGTCATCTTTAATTGATTTTTTTCCAAATTAGTCCATTTTTAAAATAAAAAGTCATAGAAAAAATCTCACAGCTTCACCTAATCATTGTAAATCAATTAAAAGAAAAGACTACTGCTTTGATTTTTCATATTTAATGTGTTTTACTTGAAAAATAAACCAATATAAAAAACATCCAACCGCATATGAAGATTTTTGGAAATGCAGTATAAGTAATTTTAATACAGGGTCCATTAATATTTAAATGGTTCATACTATCAGAAAATGTTATTTCAATCAAAAAAATTTACACTAATTTTTCATTATAAACTATTACGCTAGCATTATACTAGCATAATATATTGATGCATGTTTTCAAAGTACAAAGTATGGTACAATTTTTGGGGTACATATAGTTTATATACCATGTATCGTGTTCTAAAAATTTACTCCCTCTTTCTATTTAAATTATATTTTTCCATTTAATTACGAGGCAAAGTCTCACACAATTTCAAAATCAATTTTTTGAAAAATTGGCAAATGAAGAATTAATAAAATCAATATCTACCTCGGTGTCTCAATATTTGTCCGATTTTAGCTATTTACAGTCAACTATTTAAAATCATAAAGAACTAGATAAAACGATACTTTATAAAAACATTATAAAACAAACCTAATAATATCATATCCATATTCAATTTGACTAAATCCACCCAATTTACGATTAATTGACAATATTACCCAAAACAATTATTTGTATCTAAACTCTCTTTTGTATATTTAAGGATAAAATTATTAATTTATCGTAAATGGAGTGTATTTAGTCAAAATGGTTGTATTTTTATCAACATCCCACTATTTTTATATCAACATTATTTTCAATTTTATTTAAGTACTGGTCAAAGTTTGTTATTTGACTGTAAAAAGTCAAAACTAAACAAATATTCATAAATAGATGTAGTAAAAGACTGCATCGAAAGTTCTACATAACAAGAAATCATAAGAATATTTTATTTTATCAAATAAGGAGTAATACAAAATACATAAACAAACAAAATTTATCAAGAGGTAGGTTCTAAAAAATTACAATCAATTTTGAGATAGAGGTATTAGATTGTATTTTCCGTGTCATGATAGTCTCTTCGTTCTGTATTAATGTTTGTGAATGAGTCGAGTTTGTAGTTTATAATAATAAAATTATATCGTTGAAAGTTGTACAAAGAAGAGAGAATGATCTAAGTCCCAACAAGTTTTCTTAATATGGTAAGTGAAATTCTATTTACGATGGATAAAAAAGATAATAATGAACATTATTACGAGACGGTGGAAGTATGAAATTTATCAAATTAGATCAATTTTTGCAATTGCTAACTATAGCAATCAACAAGCACTAGACAGAAACGAGTTGAGGGGTAGGATTTACAAATACACCTAGGAAACGCTTTAATATCATGTAAAATTTTATGAAATCATTTACTTAACTGCATTCCATAGTGAAAAAATATGTATACAAGAAGATTGCAAGTTAGCACTTTAAGACTCATGTATACAAGTAACCCTGGCCCATAAGCATTAAGTAACCAATATATATCGATTTTTAATTATGATCGGGTATATGTTCCTACTTCAGAGCAACCAATAACCATGTTAAAGATTTTTAATTGTAATTAAAAAAGACCAACATCCTATAACACTAAAAATATACTTCTAATTTACAAAAAAGTTTTTCAAATAGTACTCAGATGTTATATTGGAATAATTCTCCATATAAAATAGTATGTAAAACATTATTTTTTTATATTTTCATAATTAACTAAAGTTATTAAACGTTTTTTACACCTTGATTTAGAAGTTAACAAAAATTAATCACACCAAAATAATTAATCCGTTATTTACAGTAAAAAATTGGTCATGTAACGCACGGGTACGAGCTTCTGGTGCCCCAAATCATGAACTAAAGTTGAAGATTGGAACACCCATTATGTTCTTGAGAAAGATTGATCAATCATCAAGTCTGTACAATGAAACAAGATTGATATAACTCGACTCGGCAATCATCATCTTATTCAAGACACGGTGATAACTGGAAAAAATGTCTCAAAACAATTATTATCCCACGATTGTCGCTTACACTGTCAGATGCAAGAATTCATTTTCAAAGGTAATAATTTTCAATCATGACTTCATACGCAATGACAGTTTACAAAAGTCAAAGTCAATCTTTGTCTCATGTTGGATTGCTACTAAAGAAATTGGTATTCAGCCATGATCAACTCTATGTTGCAATTTCACATGTTGCAAGCTGCGAAGGGTTAAAGATCTTGATTTGCAATAAAGACTTTTCGTCATCCAACCAAATTACTAATGTAGTTTATAAAAAAGTGTTCCAAAACTTAAAACATTTCATATTAACTACGGTCCTTACTGTACATTACCTTATTTTGGACAATTTTAATAAAATTTGTAATTTGTATCATTTTCTGTTATTCCAAATCAAGACTAAATATAAGTAATTTTACAGTCCGTGCATCGCACGGGTACGAGTCTAGTTTTCTAAAATGGTCATCTTTAATTGATTTTTTTCCAAATTAGTCCATTTTTAAAATAAAAAGTCATAGAAAAAATCCCGCAGCTTCACCTAATCATTGTAAATCAATTAAAAGAAAAGACTACTGCTTTGATTTTTCATATTTAATGTGTTTTACTTGAAAAATAAACCAATATAAAAAACATCCAACCGCAGATGAAGATTTTTGGAAATGCAGTATAAGTAATTTTAATGTCGCTTTGACACCCTTTTGAAGTCTATTAGTTGGAGGGGCTTAAATTGGGTGTTATTTTCAATTAATGAATATTATCTTGCTAATTAATTCATTTTGAGACTAATTTGGAAAAAACATATAGTTATTGAGTACTTCGTACCATTTTAGAAATTTACTCATTAGAAAAGTGTTGAATTCACTCTATTGTTAAGTCTCAAAAGTTGAATGCTCTGAGTGTTGCACAGTTGGTAAAATCACAGAGTGCTCAAAAATAGATTCAAATTCAATTCCTGACTTAATACAACTGAACCTTGTCGGCCAATCGAGAAGTCGTGCGAGAGAGAACGACAATAGGGTTGAAAGAAGAAGAGTTTTCTTGGGGGGAGAGAGAGGTAATTCTAATTCCATGATAAATGGGTTATACAATTGCTGTAATTAATAGTGAAGTTCTCCCCCAAATCCTAATTACTAAATTATCTATTTTGTCAAAGTAAAAAAAAAAATCCTTAAAGGAGCTTATAATTCACTTCCCTAAGAAAAATCTAAATTACATTTAATAGAAAATAATGGAATAAAGAAAATTAAACATAGTCACCATACACATCAAAGTGGCCCAACATTTCTTCGTGGACGTCCCTCATCCGTGGGATGCTTGTGGACTTCATCAACAGATCCCCATATCATGACTAATGCGATGAAAGGCAACATGTTATGCTGAAATATGTGTTGGAAGTGATTAAATCTGGTTAATTCATTACATGGAGTGATGCACTATTGCAGGAAGGCGTCGATGCCAATCCTCAAAATGTATTGTTGTAGTTGTGTGTATTTGCTTTCTAAAGTATTTATTGAGTATATGTTTTTGTTGTTGCAAACGCTCGAGGATGAAGAAATTGAAAGTGAAATAGCTCGCATGTGGCCCAATTTTTACATGAACTTATTTGAGTGCGTATGGCACCATGAATGATGTTTGCCTTAAGAAGATAGCAACATACATATGTAACATAAATCTTTTTTTCTTCCTGGATTGGCGTCCCATTTTCAATTGGCGTGAGTGAGCCTTTTTGCATCTAGAAGATGGAAATGTCATTCCCTGATGCAAAACAGGCCACTCCAACCAGTTGAGAATGAGACACCAATTCGGGAAGAAAGGAAAAACTATATTACATACGTTGCTACCTTCCTAAGGCAAAAATCACTCATGATGCCATTCACTTGCATACGCACTAAAATAAGTTCACGTAAAAATCAAACCACATGCGAGCTATTTCACTTTCAATTTTTTCATCTTAAGTGCCGCAACAACACAAGCATATACACAACAAATACTTGAGAAAACAAACACATACAACTACAGTAATACATTTTCAGGATTGACATTGCCGTCGTCTCATAGTGAGACACTTCATGTAATGGACATACCAGATTTGAAAGGTTTAATTTGTAGTAGTGTTATTTATAAGAAAGATTAATTATCAAATGAAATGTAATTGAATTTAGAATTCAATTATTCATTATTAATAAGAGAGATTAAATAAAGAATTGAAATGTAATCAAATTCATATTTCACTTTATTAGATAGGTGTATATTTTTAATAAGTATTATAAGTCATACCAATAATGGAATTTTAAAAATTTTCTCTTCGAATTCATGAGTTTCTTCTGCTCTGTGCTTCGAGAGAATATCTCTCTCCGTCGTCTCCGCCGTCCGCCTCCTTGCCGGAACGCTCCGGCCGGTAGTGCCCGGTGACGGGGTCGGGCACCCAAGAGATCTCCTTTCGGCTCGCCGCTTCTCCGCCTTTCTCCACCACCGCGCTTCCGCTTCCGCCGCCGGAAACCGCACCCTGGGCCGCCGCCGCTGCGTATCGCCGGCCGATCCCAACGGAGACCCAATCAACCACGGAGGAGATGAGCTTCGCGCTGGAGACGGAGCGAGCCATAGATCTGAAAAGGCCAAAACACTCACTCGCAGAAACAAATAAAAAATATATAAAAATACTCCGTAATAATTAGACGCTATTTAATGAGGGAACTAGAGAGAGTGTTTATGATTGAATTGGAGAGAAGGAAACGGCAATGGTCATATTTATAGGATAGCGCCGGCCAAAAAGCACTTTTTCCACGAAAGGACGGACTCTGTGACTTTGACCACGCGTCGACCACCATTTTCCCAGCTGTGCAAGTTCAAAGAAAAAAAAAAAAGAGCCACATCCGAGGACTCCCGAGACCCGGTTAGATGTTAAATTAGATTTTAATCACAGATTAGTAGCAGAGAGTAGAGTCTGCACTTGACACTTGTAATTGCAGAGGCTTTATGTTTGGCGTAATTGCCTCACAGTGCAATTGTCAGACAACGAACACGGGTTTAGCCCTAGATTATTTTTTTTTAAAAAAATGATCTCCATTCCTGAGAGAAAAATTCTGTTTTGAACATTTAAACTTCACCTTTAATTCCATTTTCTTACAGACCTTACATGCATTCATAGACACATAATATTGTTACGTATCTGTGAATGTGTAAGAGGTGAGTTAAAAGTGAGGTACAATTGTACAAATATTATGATAATAGTTTCGGGTACACCTCTTACAATTTAAATTGCCCAATGACTGGTTTGGTCCCAAGGTAACGAATAACCTGTTACGCCAAACGATACAAACATGACTGAAGGGTAACTGAAAAAGTTAAATTAGACTTTGATGATAAATTGATTAAAAAAGTTAAATTAGACTTTAACATATATCTTTTAAGAATGATCCGTTATTTTAAGACCATCGAAGGCGGAACGATTGGCTCACTTAGTTAGAAAATTATGAATACACATTAGATTGAAATGGAGTTAATAAAACTAAAAAAAAAAAATAATTTTGAACATTACAATAATTGAAGGGGAATGGAGCTAATGAAAAATTGAAAGCAAGCTGTTATGTGGTAAAGGCACCAAAGCACGTTGTTCATTTTTTGTTTTGTTTTACCAAACATGCAAATGGAGTTTTATCTTCCATTTCTTTAATATCAATTACGTAGTATATGTTTATTTATAAAAGAAAAGAACTTGATAATAATAGTAAAAAAAAATCTGGAAAAAGGACTTCGGAACATGGGTATATTTAAAATACAGAGTATGATTTAAATACAAAAAAAAAGAGAAAACAATATTGTCATTTCTGGCATTTCAGCATTTATTTGGGTATAAAAAGAGTTGAGACCCTATTTTATTAATTTGCCAAATATTTTATTTTTATTAAGAAATAAACAAATTCTTTTCAAACACACGTAATGGATGAGCTGTTTGGCTAATGGTTTTGCAAAACTTATTCAAAGGACTACCAAACTTTCTTCCCCCACATGGAATGTGTGGTGTAATTAACATACACAAGATATCCATAGTGATGACCTCTTCCCAATGTGTTATGCCCTGCCAATAATTTAGCTTTGGAATGTGTGTAACTTGAGCTTGGACTTATTTTCTAAAAAAGATATTGTGCCCCACCTCTCTCTAGTTGAGTGGATGATACTGGACACCTACAGTGTTCTATTCGTAAAATTGATAGCTCATATTCCCGTAACCCCTTACGCAGTTCTAACCCCAACCCCTACCCTATGTCAATTGTGGGGTGCCAGTTTAGTTTCAATTTTTTTGACTCTAAGTCAACTAAACTTGCATCCCGCAATTGACGTGGGTAGGAGGATGGATTGGGGTCGAGACTGAGTGTGTGGCGAGAGGGGGTAAGAATTATCAATTTTGCGAACAAAGCACTGAGGGGAGAATGGTCTAATTAATGTATCTTTTTTATTTTGTCCATTACATTCTCGAAACTAAAACATTGGTGATGATTATTCTTCTAGCTCCATTAGCAGGGCGCTTGAGATGATGTACTATATTTGAAAATAAACAAGCACATACACAGTCTTATAGACCTTTGAATCTTTATAACACTGACCAAGCATTGCTATACACAAGGCAACACCATGTTAGCCTGAAGCTGTGGGGCACTTTTCTTTCGGATGCTTGGAGCTGTAGTGATCCGGGAGTTGATTCTTGTTAGCCAGCTGCACCTAAAAAAACATCATCTTGAATGAGAATGGTCGTCATTGTCACCTCACCTCGATAGAGAGAGAAAAAAATGGGGCTTGAAGTGTGATTGTGGGAGTTAATGAGAGTAGATTTTAAATCATATAAGACACGTAAACTGCTATTTTTCGAAAAGAAAATTGTTTGGCAACATTCGTTCCACCAAATAAGTAAAAATGCTATATACTCCGTACTCATTAAATCTTTAGCACTCAAGGCAATAATTACGAAGTACTCCATAATGTTTTCAAAACTAGCCTAAACAAAATCATCCCAGTTGTTACGGAACAGATGTAGTAAACTATAAGATATTACAAACAAGAATCTATCTCAAACTGATTAAATGCTGCGTCATTGAGAAGTATAAGGCTATCAGCTCCAGGAAACTTAACTCTCTACCGGTGGTACATTTAGCTTAGGTTTGCTTCGAGTTGAAAAAGCCAAAAAAAAAACCACTTTCTTTACCCATCAAATCTATTTCCTTTTCCTCATATATATTAACGTCATAGTTTGTTACCATTATTCCATTAAGTTCCTAAAATGCACAAAAATCACTTAATGCACAAAAATCACTTATTGCACGTCATAGTGCCATGCTTTACACGATTTACCCTATTGAATGTTTGATGAATGATATATGACAACTGCATTTATAATTTTTATCCCCTTTTCCTCTGTTTTAAAATTAAGATGACAATCATACGCTATATTAATCAAAGTGTGAAAGTTAGATGAACAGATATCAGAATTCTTTCACTTCAAGCTAACTTAAAGAACATGATAGATTCTGTCTGAAATCAAGCTAGATGTTCACAGAATTATCAAAACTGACAACTAAAACAATTTGGGAAAAGAAATACTCAGTATGATCAGAAAACTCTAATGGTCCGTTTGGTACACGGAATTGACGGAATTGGAATTGAATTGGAAGTTGAAATTTTATGAAATTGATTTGGAAGGAATTGAATTTTCCAATTTCAATTCATTTTTGGCACTACAAATTCCAAATCCACATATTTGTTGTGCTACCAAACAGCATCATTGGAATTCTTGTCGCGAATTCCAATTCCATAATTAGAATTCCTTGCACCAAACGGATCCTAACAATCTTTTCTATGATTATTTGAGCATAATAAACAGCAACAAATTAATTTGAATCTTGGACCACAGATTCCAGCAATCAAGCAGATAATCATGAGCTCAAACAGACGCTCGATTTTATGTTGAAATCCAAGTTTTTACATTGAAACAACCCTAATAGTCGAGCAATCAGCGAAGTTCAATGAAACAGTATACGATCAAAACACATAAATCGAATAAAAACATCGCCAGATTTAGCGAGATTAAAGCAAAACGAGAATTGGGTATAATACTTTACAGATGGGGCAGGTGATTGTGAGGCCGACAGCTCGGGCCTCGAGCTGAGATCCTTTGGACTTCTGATTCTTCTCGGCATTCTTTCGCTGAGCTTCGATCTTTTGCTTTCCCCTCGTCATCTCTCTATTCTGGTTTCCAATTCACAGTGGATGTGGCGGATTTTGAAGAAGACGATTGGGAGATTTGGGTTCGTCAGGATCGGTAGTACTACAGGTAGAAATGGGTCGGGTACCCGACCTGACAATCATGTCAATCGGTATTGGGTCTTTGAGTTGGATATTTGGGCTTGATCCATCCGGTATTGGGTTTACAAATCCATAATATTCTCCAAGTTGGAATTCGGATCCATCCAGAGTCTAGACTCTTTTTGTTCCATTTGAGTTTTATATGATGTCTGATAAAAATTATTTTTAATGCAATATATTTGAGAATTGGGCTTGAATTTAAAAACTAAATTTAAATATCTTAAAATTAAATAATAAATTCTACTCCATCCGTTCAAAAATAATCTTCTCATTTACTATTTACACGGTCAAACTTTATTTACTTTGTTAACTTATTTTTATCGCACATTTGATAAAATAATATAGTCATGTTACCTTTAGTTTTGAAAATCTTTTGATTTAATTTTTAATTCTACAATATTTTTCATATAAAATGATTCAAAAATAGCTAAAGTTAAACATCATAACACGCAACGGGAAGATAATTTCTTGATGGAGTACGAAACAAGAAGTGACATTGCTATACTCTGTATTATTTTATCATAATATCAAAAATTAGTAACAAAAATAACGATAGAACGTGAATGAAGTTTGACATTGTGAATAGTACTCCGTAAATAGACAATTTAATTTGAAATGAAAATGACAATATGCCAAGAAAAAAATGAAAGAACACAATTTTGTTTTACTTAGAAATCATCACACGTTGAATTAATTCATTCACAACAAATGACTACATTTTTTTTTTGAAAACAACAAATGACTAGTTTTTGAACAAACACGTGAGAGAGTGGTCTTCACCAATTTGGTTTTTGTAATGTCACACGTCCTTTGACTTGGCCACTCCAAGAAAAGAGTTTGTGAAAAGAGAGGAAACATTCTGCAGTGTTCTTCCCATAAAGCTGGAACCAGAAGACTCTTCTTTATGCACACTGCCAATCAGCCATTGATAGTCTGAGAGTGCCCTGTCCGACAGCGGCTCAAGAAACTCACATCTCGGCAAGATCTCCGGCGGAGGGACACCAGAAGCAGTGAGATTAGTGTCAAGCTTCGGCCTCCTCTTTCCGAGCCCTTCTTCTTCTTCTAAGACCGGCGTTGGGGTTTCAAGTGCCCGTGGAGTTGCACCGGGTATGACCCCTTTATTGAAGGGCGACTGTCTCTCTGACTGTAAACAGAAGTCTATCCACTGGTGCACTAGCGGCGAGGGCCCTCTCACTCTTCCCCCAAGTTCATCTGATGATGCAAGTCTTGTTGCCGCCGGTATTGCCTGAACACCCAAAAAAGACTTTGTAAAATCCCACAAAAGTAGGGTCTGAGGAAGGTGTGTGTGCGCAGACCTTACCCCTACTAAACAACAGAGGTTGTTTTCAAGAGACCTCTGGCTTGAACACGATAATATGGACAAAGAAAACACACACGCACTAACACTATGTTTGGTTCAAGGAATTTGAAAGGGAAAAAGAAAAGAAAATGAAGTGGAAAATAGTTTTTCGCGTTTGGTTACAAGGGAAAAGAAAGGAAAATGGAAGGAAAAGAGAATAAGAAGGTAAAATGTACCAAGTGGAGGGAAAATCAAATTCCTCCCGTTTTGGTGTGGAAAATGAAAGACAACCATTTTCTTTTCTTTTCCTTCCAAATTCCTTGAATCAAACATAGTGTAAAAGTACAAGCTAAGACAAGAAAACACGCCATGGTAAACTAAAACTAAGGCCCAGAGGTCTACTCATGATCTCATCAACTCATTTCAATTCTTCCAAGTTTCAAAGAATGAGGGGGGCAAGGGGCAGAGAGACATTACCCAGAAATCAGCCCACAAACTTGCGCCGGATTTTGGAACAATTACAGCAACATTTGACATCCGCTTTGCAGCAGGAATCACATCGCTGCTCCATCCAACGGCTACCCAAACATCTCCCACACCAAAGGCTTTCAGATAGTTTCTACTGTCAAATAGGCGAACCTGTGGATAACACACACACACACATCATGAATTCATGATCATAGTCGATTAATATAGGCTTCCTACTTTTAATTATATGGTATGCTAAAACCCCCATTTGGCACGTTTTTTTTAAACCTAATTTGGGGTTTAGCCTACATATTACTCCCTTCGTCACACAAAAATCTTTTTACTTTTCCATCCTAGATGTCCCCAAAAAACTCCCAAGTTTATTTCCTTTTAAAGAAATGATAATGTGGCTCACAAAAATTCTCTCTCATCTATACAAATTCCAACCACATTTTTCACATTTCAACACTTCTCTTAAACTCTGTAGTGTCAAACCAGGAAGTTTTTTTACGGGATGGATGGAGTATGTTCTTTAAAAAATACAATATGGATCCATTTGGTAAGTTTGTTTCCCTTCAATTTATGGCACACCTGACCTCTTTCACTGCCAGATACATTACCTGTTTAACTAGTGATGCAAGGTTCTGCTGAACAGCATTTCGCCCACCTGTAACCTCAGAGTCCAAATCTTTAGCGTTATAAGATGCACCCATATATTTCAAAACTGCGCCAATTATTTCCCGTGGTGAATCAACCATAGAAATCCTTCCTGCAAGCTCAGGCCGCCACAAATCATCCCAGTCCTGTGTTATAATTTACACACATTTTACCCAAAGAACGGCACAAAGGACAAACAATAAAACGATATGTACAACATTACAATCATTGCATTTTTTAGATTAGATCTATGCTCGATCTTACCTCTACTCCAAGGAGTAGAAAGGGATACATAAAACAATAATTCTATAGACAACCTGAGACCCAAAAGATCACTTACATTAATAGGAGCTAGGTTACGCTTGCGAAATTCTCTTTTCTTGTAAACAATTACGATGCTTCCCCACCTGAAGGGAGCAGACCATATCTTCCCCTGAGAATCTACTCTCCCATCATTACTCCTTCGTAAATACACCTGTCATTCATCATGTCAAAGAGAACTGTCTAAAGGACGAGTAAAGAAAAAGGGAATGTACCATTATATTGAAATGAGATTTGAAATGAAAAAAAAGAAAAGACTGGAAATTCATTGGTTTCTAGTTTGCATTCACACCCGAATACAATTTATCTATGACACATTTGATACTTAATGACTAATTCGTAGTATATTTTTCAACATAGAATCAGGCCGTGAAGACGTGAATGGATTGGGGACTGGGGAGGGATGGAAGACTAAAATAATGTTTCATATAATAACAAACAACAACAAAGCTCACCTTCCATTTGTCACTTAACCTTTTAACAAACCATTCTTGGTCTTCTACCCCTTGCATTGGTTCAATTAAGCCATGCTTAATTGCAAAAGTAAGCCATGCATCACCAAGAGCAATGACATCAGCTACCACTGCAGATTTTTTATTAACAACTCCTTTCTCGAATGCTATACGAAGTTCATGAAAAATATCTTGACAGCTACGCCGAAACTCTGGACATATTTTCACTTTCCTCCCTTGAGCATGCAGAAAGTCCTACAAGCTTCAAAAGATTATAGCATCACTCAATCTACAAGAAAAGTGGATCAATTTGTATTTTGTAATATGATAGCTATTGGAGAAAAATAGATGGGAAATATGCAACAACAACCCACTTCACTCCCACGAGAGTAAGATCTGGAGAGGCTGCATGTAACCTTAACCCTACTCGAAAGTAGATTGTGTCCGAGAGACCCCGGATTGAGTAACACAGAGAGCACAAAAAGATGGGAAATATGCAAGGAAAAATAAAACATTGGTTTAAACTCAAGAAATCAATTCTAGATATTTTTCAACCTCATTTCTATTTTTATATTTCTATTACATAAAAATTAATAAATCTAAATACATTAAAATGTAAAGTTCTAATAAAAACTCATTACTTTACAACTTAGAATCACACACAAAATGCCACTTTCTTTGGAGCACTTTTTCGCTTTGCCATTCGTGGGTTTCAAACACAACTTAATAAAAGTGAAGTCATATACTTGTATTTTTAAAAAACAAACCCTCAAATACCAAATATGAACTTCATTATTTCTTCCATAGAGGCCAAAAGCAAAAGCTTCATCCAAGCATCTGATAGTGAATAGATAAATAAATATAATGTGCATAACATACTTTTATCCATATAGGAGGAAATGAGTTGTTAAAGGAAACGATTCTTAGAGGAACTGTCAAAGCATATGTCTTGGTCTTCCATTTCTCAAATGCAGCTTGAAGCTCTTCATCATCAAAATCAACCACATCCGTCGTTTGTCTCACTTCACCATTGTCTGCAATAATATTAAAATACAACTCACTTGACGAACACATCAATGAACTATCAAAACCCACTTGCTTTTTCACTCTTACATTTACAATTCATTTACTCACAACCCCATGCTGTGCCCAACAAATTAAAGTTCATCCCTACATTTATCTAGGTTAACCTAATAACTAACTATTAAAAGTCCAAACTGAAAATTTGTACATGCCCCCGGGTTCAGCTAGTTTCTAGTAAACCTAATTCCAATCAAGTTCACCTCTTTTACTTTAAATTCACCCAAACCAACAGAGAATTAAAACATTCTAGTGCTTCCAGCATTCAAACTACACAGGGAGAGACAATATGAGTTACAGTATCATGGCTTTCGCCAGTAATCTTTGTAATCCAAACCTCTCTTCATTCATATGTCAGGGGGGGAAGAGAATAATTCAAGAAAAGATTGAAAATGGAAACCTTGGGGTTCAGTGTCTAGAGGATGGGCTTCTGATGAAGTGAGAGGGGGAGCAACGGAGGGGCAAGCGGAGGCGCGAAAGGTGAAACCAAGACCTAAGAAGAGAACAGAGGAAGCTACTAGTTGCCGGAAAATGTCGCCGGGGGTCACCGCCGCGGCGGCAGGTAGACTCAAGTTGCGGTGGACCGAGGAATAACTGATATTGTTGTTGTTAGCAGAGATGGTTAAACTCTTGGTGAACCGGAGATGGTGGGAATTTCCGATGGTGAGAAACCTGAAGCTGCGATCGGCGCTGTTCGGGTAACGGCGGAGTAGACTCGGAGCGGCGGAGGTGAGGGAAAGCACCATTCGTTTCAAGGGCGGAGGGGGACGGAGGGGATGGGTTTTGGGGGGTAAGCTTTATAGGTGGATATGAGAATGAATTACAGTACATTTTATGCAAAATAAAACAAAATAAAATTATAAATTTTTTTTATTTCATTTTATTTAAAGATTAATATATAAATATAAAATAAAATTTGTACATTAAGAATAACATAAAAAATTCTGCAAAATAAAATGTAATAAGAATGGATGACACAAATGATCCGGTGTCATAATATGGCATCGAAAATGAGTATCATAAGATCTTTGTTCATTAATGTAACGGAGAGATAAATTATATGAACCATAACTATTTTTTAATAGCAATGTTAATTTTATTTAGGACATCTCATTAAACAAAATGAGAATTTATTTCGAAATGAATGTAGTATGTTTTTTTTGTTATCGACATTATATTCTCTATAATACTCTATATTTCCAGTAGATTAAAATTCATCATAAAATAAAATCTTTACTACTCCAGTGGAGTACTATATATACAAGAAAATTGACACTATAATAGGGAAAGAGTTTCCAATCTCTCTGTACAATTGAGAATTTCACACAAGTAAATACACAACAAACAAAAAAAATGCATGTCTCCACTGGATATTTATTTAATTATTGGGAAGCAAAGATCAATCATATACTCCATCTATCCCAAAATTACATTTCCCGCCCTTATCATTTTTCGTCTGCTAAAAAATCATGTCACGTTTTCTTTTAACGAAAGGGACGCCAAGTTCATATTATTTCTCTTTCTTCTTTCGTCTTCGTGGTCCCCGTGTCCGGTCAAAGTGGGGCCAAGGGCTTGTTTTGTCTTTTCCACATAAGCTGAGGGAAACCAACCTGCTTTCCCATTGCATTCTCCTTCAGACCATCCATGAGGGGCTACCTATATTATTATATCATCATAGTCCCCAGATGATAAACCAAAAAACAAAGTTAGCTAAAAATACAAGAATAAAATTTGCTAATGTGTCCCTTAAGTTTGGGCTATTTCTCGAAACGAAGCTCTATGCGTAAGCTCCTTGATATAACCCCTAGTAAACCACCTCGAAAAATGCGACTTCAGTACACCAAGGTTGCCACCTCTAGAGACAACAATCGCAAACAAACAGTTATTGTGTGTGAGACCGTAAGATACTAGCAGTGTTGATCTTGGTGTCATCCATGGTGTGACTATAGCATGACCCAACCGCCTCACATAGCGTACGGGGTGATTAACTACGTCGACAAGTGTATTCGATCAGTTAACATTCATAGGAGAGGGTCATTTTGAGAAATACCATGAACCTAAGGGTTATAGCATGAAATTCCTAAATTGTTTGGCCTATCAGTGTAATTTTTCTTCAAGAAATGGGCATAGGAGATGATCACTTTGAGAAATACCTATCAAACCTAAAGATTAGGTCGAGAAATAATCACCCAAAACAAAATGTACTGGTAATATACAAAACTAGAATAATATAACCAACATTTTTATTTTTGCTAATTGGGAATTTCTTTCTTTGTTTGTTTGCGCATGTAGTATGTACCTGACGAACGACAACATAATCATCAACTTCAAGATTCAGCTCCCCATCTGCTTGAGCATCAAATGAGTGTAACACCTTGCATGGGAAAGAGAGAGAGTAAAGATTAATAAAAGAGAATGGAAAGAGAGAAAGCTCGAGTTTAGTCAATTCTGTTGGATTATAAAAAAACATTCTTGGGTCTTCAATCACAAATTTGAGCTTGTGGTCGAATTGGTTCTTTAACATCATATCAGAGCGTGTTTGAGAAAATGGACCCCACCTACAAGTGGCGGAGCATGTTTGAGTAAAAAAAAAAAGTAATGGGCATTCAACCACAAACCACAAGCTTCATAAGCTTGAGCTTGTGGTGGAGTTCGATCATTAACAAATTCACGAAGAAGAAAAAGATTTATCCATAAAAACAAGAAAATAAGAAGAAGAAAAAAAAGTCCTTACCTTTGCCATAAAAAAATCACAACTTTTGACATTAAATTGTTGATGGGCAGATCCATTTGAAGTAGTTGTATCTTCAAGTGTCTCTTTTTGCCGAGTTGATGATGACGATTGCATCAAAGACTCATTTAGCCCTTCTTCTTCGGTCCTCATCTATAGCTCCAGCAATGAAGATTTCTTTAGTACTAGAAGGAGATCTAAAGGGTATATTGGTCAGAAACTTTTGGGGCAAAACAAGAACTAGGGAGGCAAACCTCTGAATGAAGTTTCTCCAATAGAGAGACAACGTTTCGGTGATAAGATTTTTCAGCATCCACCTGACAGCTGAAACCACAGTAAGATATACAATAATGACACAATAAATTCCAACCTATGGTCTTATTGTTTAACACTATGTTTGGTTCAAGGAATTCGGAAGGAAAAGAAAAGATAATGGTTTTCTCTCATTTTCCTCACCAAACTAGGAGGAATTTGGTTTTCCCTTATCTTAGTACATTTTGTCTTCTCATTTTCTTTTCCTCCCATTTTCTTTTTCTTTTCCTCTCTAACCAAACGAGAAAACTGTTTTCCATCTCATTTTCTTTTCTTTTCCCTTTCAAATTTCTGGAACCAAACATTGAGCAAGTATCCCACATCGGAAAATCAGATAAAGAATAACGGGTTAATAATGTCTTGAGTAAAACTAAATATTTCGTAACATTAAAAAAACACGGTATTTGTTGCATTTACTCCTTTTCTCAAATACAGAATTTTTAATTGTTCTTTAAAATGAAAAATGTGGTTTTTTAAGATGACAATAATTAATCTTATAATAAAATGACAAACATAACCCTATTGGAAGCAGTTACTCCCTTTCGGGATGCCACAAGTTTATGCATTGTGGCTTATTTATTAATGACCAAAAAAAGGAAATACCATTTTAAGTAACTTGTCATAAGTTGTTTGTTGCTGCTTCTCCTCAACAGCCAGCAAGGCATCTACGGCTTCCTTACCAATAACCAACATTGAGGCTTTAAGCTCACTCAATCTTGCTTCTGCATTCTTGAGCTTCCCTAAACTCTCTGAAGAAGCGTCTCTAAACTTTGTTTGGCGTCTTATTACTTCAGCAGCCTGAAAGAGACATGTTTCACAATGGTACGAGCTTTTAGTTTTAGTAAGGTAGGATTCTTGGGGATCTTTCTCTTTCAAATGAATTCCAACAACACATTTTTCACTTTTCAACCTCCTTTTTCTTTAACTATGTACCCCGTCAAGATGAACTTTTGATTTGGGACGGAGGGAATACTTAAATGAAGGTTTGGGAAGTTAATGCAACAATGCATCAAGGGTATAATGGTAACAACCTCTTGTTTTTTTACAGGGGTATGGTTGAGTCCATCTCGACCGCCAGATCCCAATGGAATGGGCTTTAAATTTATGATCCCCCCCAAAAAAATAAAATAAAATAAATTATGGAGTATAATACAATACAGCGGAGTAATTTGTTTTATCTAAGAACATATATTACCTGGGATTCAAGCTCTTGGCGCAGTCTATCATAACGGCGGGTCAAATGACGAGCATCCTCTAAAGGAGCACCACCTATTGACGCCCGGAGCGGCTCAGAAACCTATTTGAAAGTTCATCATCATCATCATTAGAAGCACACAATTATTGTGAAGTAAACATAACCTTTTTCGGGGCGAGTTAGATCCAAATGAAAGAGTCAAGAATTTGTCAAGGAAATATATATCATATATGAAAATGATTTTTGTGGCTTACAATCTTTCTCCCTCCTCTGCATCACTATCAACCACACAATTTTACTTTTCTTAAACTTTGTGCCAAACCAAATAAATAACCTTGTTTTCAAAAAAATAAAGAACCTTATTTTGGGACGGAGAGAGTATTATTTTGTGTATATTGTTCCTTATGGTAGTAATTGTATAGGTTTTTGTTTCCTTGTAAGTTTGATTTACATATAGAGTTCCTAACTTGTGGTTTCCTATATATATTGGCCTACTCTCTATGTATTGATACAACAATGACTAGTCAATAAAGTCTTCGACAAGCCAAAATATAACTTAACTAACCTGTTGTCCGAGAATGCCGAGCATAATTTCCCTTTGGTCTTCCATTGAAGCAAGTGAAACACCAAAGTTAGAAGAAGCCCTTGCAAGAGGAGGAGCGTCACTAGCATTCTCAATCCCATATTTGCAACAATCCTCGCCCAACTTTCTAACTACACACATGATTCAAGTTTGAAACATTTATGGCATTAGCAATTTTGTAAACTCCGTAATTGCTTTCTCATTAAGGATCTAAAATGCCTTTTTTTAAAGCACCAACCGATCTACGGCTTTCTTAAATATGCATTAAAAGCGCCCATTTGTCCCGTGAGAAACGTTTCTTTTTTCCATTTTTTGCCCACGCGCTTCTTTTTTTTAAGGAAATGTAGGTTTCTTACTATGAAAAGCAGTTATTACTTGAACTTTAGTTGTCTTAAGTGAAGCCTATATGGCTTTCATTTAATTAACACAAGATTATAATATAAGGCAACGAATCCACATACCTATTTGCATTTGTTTTTTGTTTGTTGAGATATATCCTTCCATCCCACGAACGATATCCCTCTGGAAATGCTGCAGAACATGGCAACACAGATGAAAAAACTTCTTCAACTAACAACAAGTAAAATCCCACAAAAAAAAGAGTAGGGTCTGAGGAGGGTGTGAACACAGACCATACCCCTACTCAAACAAAAAAACACAAACAAAGTAAACAAAGTAGCATGAACAAAGAGAAAATTGAGTTTTTTTTAAAAAAATGATTAATTCAAAAGAAATTGGAAGAGAAACTCTAAATTACCTTTGCATCCCTGGTGGATCTGTATAGTTTCTCAAGTTGTTGATGACACTGTAGTTCGGACTCATCTACCATTACAGCTTCATGCCCCAACTGTCCCAAGTGCTTCAGGATTGTCTAGCAAAAAAATGGTCATGGAGTTTTACACTATGTTTGGTTCAAGGAATTTGAAAGTGAAAAGAAAAGAAAAGAGAAGTAGAAGGAAAAGAAAATGAGAAGGCCAAATGAACTAAGAGGAGGGAAAGAAAATTCCTTCCATTTTGGTGAGGAAAATGAGAGAAAACATTTTTCTTGACTATTCGGTTGGAGTTTAGTTGGGAGGAATCCTAGCTAAAGGATTTTGTACTCCGCTACAACGACGGACTTGAGACTTGATTGTAGGCTTCTTCCGAAGGGCCATGAAGTGACACTTTCTCAGCTGAAAGTGTTGAATATAAGTCAGTTGAGGTTTGGAGCTTATGCAAATTTATAATATGCAGAAGTTCTAAATCTCAGTCGACTTATATTCAATACTTTCAACTAATAAAAGATCTCTTCGCGAACCTCCAAGAGAGGCAGACAATCAAGTCTCAACTCCTTCACTAGAATTCTATGTAAAATTGATGGCAGAAGTTTGTGTCCGTTTATTTATCCGCGAAATTAAAAGTGCAAAAGCATTCACATCATTTGCAAGTAGCAAAAAGCCAAGTATATGTGAAATAAGGTTGCTGGGGGAGTTTACTAATGAAGTCTTTGGCCAAGTCAAGTCCGGCCATTAGAGGTTCGCAAACTAGTAATGCGAAAGGGGATATTGTTTAGATGGATCCATTTGGAGGGCTAGGAAAAGATTTTATACTCTACCAAAGTATCAAATCTCCATTCTTCACAAAAACCCATTCTCCTAAATAAATCTATCTGCAATTCATTCATGTATTGACAGCCCTAAAAAGATCCATTCAAAAAAGGGGTTTTACAGAATCGAACCAAAACTTAGACTAGAGGCATTTCCAGCTTCCAAGAAAGAAACTTTTTATCAAAAAACAAGAAAATAATTGAAAAAGATTTGATTTTTACCTGCTGTTGCATGGCAACTTGCTCTCTGAGTTTGGCTGCTTGTTTCTTCATACTTTCCATTCTTCACTGTTAAGTTCTTGCTTGAAACTCAAACACCCTCTCAATCTGGGGGGGATTTGCTAGTTAAGAAAACTGAAAGGCACTTTTATGGTCTCTCACAAATCTGAGGGCGAGAATCTTTTGCCTACTTGACTTGTTTTAATCAGGGAAAGTCAGGCACGGTTAGAAAATTCTAATTTCTAACCCATTTTTAAAAGAGATTAAAAGCATCCTGAAAAAGCTTTGAAGAAGACAGTGCTGAAGGCGGCAATGGTTACCCCGGTTCATCGATTCCTTCTCAAAAAATATGTCATTATTTATTATTTTTTAATGTAAGATTTAAATTTTTTTATTCCTTAAATACGACTTAATAATGTGAGGAATAATGTCTAGTAATAATGAACTTTTAATTGAATAATGACTAATTGATAATGACCAAATGTCCTACATTGAGAAATAAAAACATATAACCCTATATTGGAAAAATCGTTATGTTTTAATCCTATTTAAATAAATTTCTCTTGATTTAATATGGTTTGATTTTATTCTAGTTATGTTTAAACTTGTTACTGATCTAATCTGATCAAGTTTGAGCTGATTCAAATAAGAATAAATAATACTGGTAAAAAATAAGTTGAAGTAAACAAGTCCATCAGTCCCTTTATTTTAGCTTCATTCCACTATATTTCTTTATTTTGATTATTTAAATTACAATAAATAAAATTTGATAATAAATCATACAAAAAATTGTACTCCGTATTACTTTGTACTCTTTCTGTTTCACAATGTTTGTTACTATTACTATTATAACTTCTCAATAATTTTTATATGTTCGTATATTTCTATTGGTTATTTGGTAAAATAAAATAATCTTGTCAGATTTTATTTCATAAGTTTTTTATGTACTTTCGAACAATTTATTTTTAAATTTTTTATTTCTATACTAATTAGTATGTTTAATAATTTTAAAAATGATAAAGTTTTACACATTCTTCAGAGAGTGACAAAGTATATATCTGTGCACATCGTTCTCATTTGTGCAGATATATTTTAAGAAATCACCATGAATAAGAGTAAATATACAAAAACTACTAAAATAGAAATTTCATGTTTTATCTCCAAATTAGAAAATTGTGCTGTGATAACATGACACTGTATATGAACATTTCACAACATTTTTTGGTATTATATATTGACATTATTGGCATTGTGTATGTATTTTAACTCACGTTTTGAGAATAAATACATGAAACTCTAATTTTAATATATTTCTATATCTACTCATACTTTACTCGATCGTTTTTTCATATATTTTCTCGATATTCTATGTATATTTATACATATCCACATCATTCCCATCCAAGTAGATATGTTTTTGATAGTTATTTGATTGTTTAATCAAATATGGAATCTATATCGGGGTGTTGCTATATTCACTTTCATTTTAGCTAAATCTTTCGTATATATATATTAAAGTGACAATTTTAATCTTAAAAAAACAAAAGATATAATTTGGATGCAAGCCAACTTTAAAGAAGAGAATTTTTCGTTTAACATAAAAGGAATGGATTTAGATCTAGCAATGTACTCCGTATGTCACTATAATATACGTTTATATTTGGATAAACTGTTATTTAGTGCATCTCATTTCTAGAAAAATGTGTAAAATTTTATCATTTTTCACATTGTTCAAAAAGTTTGATAATTACAATCGATCTTTGTCCTGTAATTAAATAACAAGTACTCCCTCCATTCCATATTAACTGTCTATTATGACTTTCTTGGTACATTGAGAAATGAATGAATGTAGACATAAAGTATGTCTAGATTCATTAATTTTTCAATGTATCAAGAAAGTCATAATGGACAGTTAATATGGAATGGAGGGAGTACATAGTATTATATACTCGTATTAATTAAATAAAACAATACAGAGTATTTTGAAAATATTTTACAAAATAAATTTAATACAATTATTTTTGTATCAATATATTATATTCCATATCAATTTGATTTATTTTATAATAAAAAAATTAATTTTGACTACAAAAAGTCAAAAATATTATATAATCTGAGATGGAAGTAGTAAATGTGAATCCAAAATTACATGGAACATCATCTAGAAAAGGAATAAATGAACATTAAGAAAAGTTAGGTACCTATACATTGTTTTAGTACTCCCTTTGTCCTACTACTCCGTAGACCGTATTTATGTTTATTTTTGTTTTTATACTCCTTCAGTCCTTCCCTCGTGAAATTATATTCTTGATTGCTTTTCTTAGTCAATACGTAGTAGTAGTTTCTAATTTTGATAATTAAGTATGAGAATAATATATTATTAAATATTTAAATTATGATATAAATTTAATATCAAGAGATTCTATCTGGAATAAAAATTTAAAATATCATATTTTTATAATATGAAATTATATATAAACGAAGATATTAATGGTCAAATTAATTAATGTATATAGTATTGGTAAATGTGAAAAGTAAAGAGAAAGAAAATTAAAAGATGGAGGGACTATGTCAAACAATCATACATCCTCTGTTCCAAATAATTCTTTTAATTTGACTTTTTAAGTAGGGTGCAGAAACATATTTTAGAGAAACTTAAAACTCAAAACACTCATTTGTATCGCGGAGAAACATGTTTTTTTCAACTGTTATTAACCCTATTACGATGTAGTGATGATTCATATTTTTCTCAACCTAATGATGCACAAAGATTCAACGCCTTCGCTAAAACTCGAAGCTGTGTGAACTTCCCCATAAATCTTGGGGAACAGACCTCTTACCACTCAAATGAGGGGAGAAGTTCCTGCAGAAACATATTTAAACCTTAAAGATTTAATTTTAAAAATTTGCACATACTCATTATATTTTGTCAAACCATGAAAATCAAATTCTCTCTCCACATTTGGAAACAAAGATCAAATTACAAATACCATTTAAAAAATATCTATAATTGTCAAAGGGTGGGGCACTTCAAGATCTATATATGTATGCATCTATGCCACAAACAAAAACCTTATAGTAATGACCAATTCAAATGCATCATTATATATTGTAGTGTCTTGCGTGTGATTACAATTCAAGCCATAAAATTTTTTTAAACGATAAAAAGCCTTCTTTTTATATAGAAACAAAATCATGACTGGAAGAAAACTTGGGCATTTCAAGTTTTTGAATGAGAGCACAAAGAAACCCATGGTTGAGAGAAGGAAAGTGGGGTTGTTCAAGAAAGCCCAAGAGCTCTCAGTGTTGTGTGATGTTGAGGTTGGGATTGTGATGTATGCACAAAACCAAAAGGACCCAATTGTGTGGCCATCCATGGAGCTCGCGACGCAATGTTTCACGCGGTTTCTGAGCCTCCCCGAGTCTGAGAAAGTCAAAAAAATGGTGACGCATGAGAAGTACTTGAGGGACAGAATCGACGCCGAGGTGGAGAAGATCAAGAAGAAGGAGAGGGAAAACGAGAAGAAGGAAATGAACATTCTCATGAGCGAAATCATTAATGGAAGAGGCTTGAATGAGATGGATGCTAGGCAACTCAAAGGGCTGTACATTGTAGCAGGTCAGTATACATTTCACTAAAAATAGGTTCATGTTAAATTGATATGATAGTACTAAATCTAACACCATTCATGTCATCGTTGCATCTCAAATACATACACGAATAGTTATTGTATGTATCCGCACAGATAATCATCGTCTGTGTATGTCTGTGAGATGTAGTGATGTCAACCCTAATATTAAAATAAAATTTCATCCAAAATATATGAAAATACTAGTACGTACTTTAATCTCAAAGATGACACCAAGAACGATACGATCAAACACAAATAATTATTATCTATCACACATTCATTGTTTGTAAGATACTAGCAATATTAATCTTGGTGTCATCTGTGATATGAGTGTAATATTACTCAAAGTATATAATAGATATACCTTCAAGATAACATATACCCCGGACTAATATAATTGCATAGATGAATAACCCAAAGAAATCAATCCTAATAATAAAAATATATTTATTGTTTATTTTGGCAAAAAAAAAAAGAACTCCATATGCCAATCAAAGAAATCTCAATGAATATGTGTGTGCGTACGTGCCGCGTGGGACTTTTTTTAAATTTGTGTTTGGTGATGAGATAAATAATTGGTAAGAATATGTGTTTCATTATTTTTTATGTGTTGATTTTAATATGACTATAATTTGTTATAAACCTTCTTTGAAGTTTTAATGCTGTACAACGTATAACTTCAATATCCAAAAAAAAAACTTCTTTCGTCCCAGAAATATCGTTCTCGTTGTTATTTTAAATTCTCAAAATGTTTTATTTATTTGTACATTTTCATTGGTTATATGATAAAATAATTTTTTTCATCGCTTCGTGTTTTATATTGTGTAAAACTTTACTCTAGTTTTGAAATATGCAGTGTGTGCGTGTGCTTGTAATTTTTATACAAATTTATTAATAAAATCATTTTAAAAGAAATGAAATTTTATATATTTTTTAGAGTGAGACAAGACTTTAAGAAATGATAGAGTACCTTTTTTTTTGTCTTTTTGTTTATTACGTACACTGATAAGTTTCAAATTTCAAAATACGGAGTAATACGGAGTAGCAACTCTTGTTTTTCTCACGTTTGTTAATGCAGAAATTTAATTAAATCATCAATATTTTTTAATACATTCTAGCAAAAAGTTAGTATTATAAATTTTTTTAAAAACTTAATTTAACACCCAACAGGACTATTTTTAGTTATGTACGAGTGATATGATTAAAAAATTAATTAAGAGCGTGTGAGTAATTTTCACTACAGAAATACTCCCTCCGTCCCAGAGTATTCGTCCAACTTTGACTTTTGAAAATGTTAATCTAAGCACTTTGACTCATCAAATTCTCTCAATGTGTAAGCCTAAATATAGTCATGTATGATCTTGTTTGATTTGTCTTAACATATAGATTATTAATATATAATTTCTATAATTTTTTAATATACAAATTACAAAATAAAATGGACTAAAGAAGTGTATTGGATGGTGTGTAAAAATGAAAATGGACAAATACTCTGGGACGGAGGTAGTAATTAGGAATATAATTTATGCACATTAGTTATTACCCATCAGTGACGAATTAATTATGGAGTAACATTTTAATATCACAGAATTTAAGAAAAATATTCATTTTAAAAAAATGCTAGGAGTACACTAATGGTGCACCCCAAGCATTTTATACCACACATTTTATAGTGTAAGAAAAAAAAACATAATAAATATTTGTGGTTCAAAATGTTTGGGGTACATTTATGGTATTTGGTGTACTCTTAGCATTTCTTAAAAATAAATTCTATTTGTATCCCAAATTTGTACCACATTATATATCCCAAGGCTTTGCACGAACACAATATGTAAGTGCAACACTAACATGATGTTAGTGTTACACTTACATATTGTGCTCGTGCAAAGCCTTAGGGGTACAAATAGCTAAACTCTTAAATATATTTGGAAGAAAGAAAAAGTTGTAGACTACATAAAGTAAGGAAGTGTGAAGATTAATTTTAATTTAATAAAAAGTGCAACAATTGTTTTTAAGACACCCAAAAAAGTGTGAAGATTAATTCAGGAAAAAGTATTTCACATTTTCACCAATCTGTCATTTTATTACGATAAATCTTTATGATGACAGCTGTAAGGATTGTCAATAAAGAGCATTTAATAACATAAATTAATTGTTGCTTATAGAAATCATAAATGAGTACGAATAATTAAATGATAAATCTAATCACACCAACTTTGACACCATGTGAAAAGCACAGTGTTGAACTTGGGGTTTGCTAGAGGTACCCTAAGTGTACACCACCTTCTCACAGACACATACTACCTGTATGAAACACAAACAATGGATGTCTTTGTGTTTCTGTGTTGATACACCATAAGATCTAGGTGTGGTATTATGCAGAAAATTACTCATGGCTGACGCCAGTTTTGTTGAAATAACTCTCAGGTCCCTCTATTTTCAAAAAGGCAGCAGAGGTCCTTACATTTTGTTGTAATAACTAGAAGGGGACATTTCATCCAATATTTCATCTATAAACGTTAATAAATATATTTTTTCCTATTCTTTTCTAAATGTTTTAAGATAATAAATCTTAGGTCGCTCCTTTTTTTATTTCTTTGTTTTTCTTTCATTTTGTTACTATTTTTTAAAGTGTTATTTTAAAATTTCTCCTATAAAATCATATAAAAATTCAAAATTGTTTATATTATATTAAAACAAATGAAATAAAAAAATTATAAAAAAAGAAATAACAGGGTAATGGCAAAATAGGAAAAACGGTATTCAAAAAATAGGAAAAAAATACATTTATTAACACTTACGAATGATGTATTGGATGAAATGTCCCCTCTCAGTCATTACAACAAAATGTAAGGACCTCTGCTGCCTTTTTGAAAATAAAGGGACCTAAGAGTTATTTCAACAAAACTCGCGTCACCTACGAGTAATTTTCTGGATATTATGACACTCAAAAGAACTATGGGATTCTCAAGGCATTTATTCGTGTTATACATTTTTCTAAAATCTGTATGATTTAATTAATTACTCTAAGATAAAGAAGACTGATATGAAGTTGTATATTGTAAACTCATTGTTTTGAGGAAAAATATATATACTAGGAGAGAAGATGCAAGAGCTGGAGAAGAGAAGACGGTATTTGCTGCTCAAAGAAGGTGGCGACACTGCCACCGCCGCCGCTTGCTCTTACCACGGGCCTTCGTCTGCCGCACTGAAAGCCGGGCAATCAGCTGATGATTCCTATAACAAAAACAAGATGGCATTATTGGTGGGTGGTGGAACATCATTGTTCATTCCAACCTTGCCAGGGCAGGGTGGTGGTGGCGGCAGCTATGGCGGTTGTCGTCAGCTGATTAATAATTATTCCTTCACTGATTCAATCAACCCCAACAATGGCGGTGATGGCAGCGTTATTGGGAAGGAGGCTGGCGGCAGCAGCAGCGGCAGCAGTGGTGGATGTCATCAGCTGATCAATAATTATTCCTTCACCGGTTCGACTTCAACCCACCCCAACAATGGCGGCAGCAGCGGCAACACCATTGAAAAGGAGGGCAGTGGTGGCGGCAACAATGGTGGCTCTAGTCAAGTGATTAATAACTATTCCTACACTGGTTCACCTTCAATGAATCACAACAATGACAGTAGCGGCAACATTATGGGGAAGGAGGGCGGTGGTGGTGGCAGTGGTGGCAGCAACAATGGTGGCTGTCATGAGCCAACTACTAACTATTCCTACATTGGTTCGCCTTCAATAAACACCAGCAACGGCGGCAACGGCGGTGTTATAGGGAATGAGGGTGGTGGTTTTCCTACTATGGAATTGCCAAATGTCACTAGTACTAGTAACACTTCTCCAAGTCTCAATCAAGTTTGGCCTTACAACTTCTTTTCATCTTAGTCTCGCTCAATTTACCTCTTACCAGGTAACTGTCCGACCGGTCTGGGAACCCTAGGAACAGAGTTTATCATTTAATAATAATAATAATAATTCTTAGGAGAATATGACGTCACATGTGAACCGACTCAGCCAAGTGATGACACATATGTCCATTGTTTCATAAAAAGATTATGACACGTTTTAGTAATGATGGACGGCATATGCATGTTGAATTGGTTGAGTTGGTTCATATGTTGTGGCATAACCAAATTTACTTAAGAATTTGTAATACCATTGTACTATGTTGTGATTGTTGTCAGCTTTGAGTGTTTTTATTTTCTTTTGTTAGTGTTGTAACAAATATGGTATGCCAACCCATACAATTTATGCTTTAGAGTTTTCATCATATGGTAGACTTCTTCCCCTTATTCACCCGGTTTCATGAAATATTATAAGAAATACACATACGAATAATGCGGTATGTCCGTATGTCCAAAACAAACATACTCCGTATGCATATAATATGATATCTCCAGACTCCAATGCAATTATACAAACATTAAACTTTGGTAAGTTTGGTTTACTCAACATTTAAATGCCTACATTTCCTACAAAATTTCCCACCATCAGTTGACATAACATGTAATTTCCTACGAGATTTCCAACTATTTTCGTATAAACATTTACTCCCACCGTCCCTAAATGTTTTGTGTTTATTGCTTTTCTTTTGAATTCACCTTAAAAATTGTTCACATTTTTCTTTACACTAAGATTTGAAAAGTGATATTGATTTTTTTTCCAAATAAACCCCTATTTCACAATTTTATTTCTTAAATTCACTATTAAAAAGATAGATACAATGAGTATGTGAATACTACACTTAATAAAAGCATCACATATATACTACACTTAGGAGTATATTCTTAATATAAAAAAGCATCCCAGCTATACTCTCCCATCCCTACTCATCACTCTCTTCTAGGAAGATTCCAAATGGTTATTTTCAGTGACAATCTAGGCTAAGATAGTCAAATGGACAATGATTCTTTATAACAATGCAAGGACCATAAAAAAACCAATACACACAAGAATTAAGGGACCTAGTTACCTACTCCATCTGTTCCTTCTTTATCTTCTCACTTTTTTTGTTGTCCCTAATTAATCTTTACATCTCCTTTTAAACAAATAATTGTTAGGTTCACACCAATTCCCTCTTCTCTAAACAACTTTCAAGTTTCAACCATACATTTTCACCTTTTGAAAACTCCGTGTAAAAAGCAACCCGGAGGATTAAATAGGGACGGAGGGAGTATTAGTATGTCGAAGCTAACCGTGGGGAAATGCCAAATAGATGTGCTATTGATGGACTTGGAATTCAGCACCAATGGGGAGATGATCACTTGGATGGTAGTAATTGGGCAATCCACCTTGTACATCAGATGATTCTGGCTCCGGGAGCTCAAGGTAGCTCACTGGTTTTAAAACCCCGGAAGGCGAAAATAATATATAGTCAAGGGTTCCTGTAAAACCTGGGGTGCAGTTCGTGAAATGTGGTTCGCCTCTGGTGTATGCATATACACTACATAGTGGAACCCTCGTCTCATCTGGGGTTTCTTGCTGAGATCCCATCAAAAAGGTGTATACCTGAACAAAACACAATCAAAAAGGTATTCTAACTAAAGTGTTTGTTTAATCAAATGAACCTTTTTTTTTTGGAAAAATTCATGTTAAGATTCTATAATTCTCGTCAGTGCTCCCAGAAATTAAATATTGTTACAATAACACCCCCAAGAGAATTTTTAGTTTACATGGACCCCCCAAATTTTGAGGCATATCTCAAACCAATATGCAATCTTGGAGCATTACTATAAAATTATTGAATTTCTGAGACTGCTGATGATAATTATGCAATATTGGAGTATAAAATCTAAGATTTCTGGGAGTATTGGCATGAATTTTTTCATTTTTGCGTAAATATTGAAAATAAAGTTATAACCAAGTTACTTATGAAGTATAATGAATTCAGTTAAATTTAAAAAACAATTCAATCATGATTTATGATAGTTGTACCTCACCCAAAAATAAATACTCTATATTGTACCATGCTAAAGTGATTAACCACATTCTGTTAGGAAAGGAAAAACTTCTTTAGAGTTAGAAAGTTATTATGAATACTAACTTGATCCCCAGGGATAGAATTGAAGTCTCCCGCAACTATAATAGAAGGTGAGCAGCCAAATTGCTCTGACACTCTGGTCTTGAATTGGAACAAGCGAGATAGCAAATATCCAGCTTGTGCAAGCTTCACATCCACCCATTCCGGATCCCTGGAAAAGGTAATCAACATACATTTTAAATGAAATACGTAGTTTGAATAAAAACATTAAAGTTTCAGTCTCTTAAAGCAATTCAAATAGTAGAGATGTTAGAACTATAGCATGTTAATTAAGACCTGGGGCTTACCAGTAAATGTGGGTGTTTGCAACAATGATGTGATGACCAGAAGGATCCTTGAGCTTGAAGGCGGCCATAATACCAACACAATCACGTTTTAGTCTGACACGAGGATCGTTAGGATCTCCACGATCTGATTGAGTGCTTTTCAACTCTGAATCTGAACACATGGTGTGCAATGTATCAGCAAAATGAAAAGTGACTGGAATATACTAAGTTGCACGGAGATGGAGACGGGTACTCATATGGGAAACACCTACTTCGCCAAATTTTACAAATGATTTCCAATTATCTAGAAAATGATGTTTCAGGGACGGGAAGCACTGAGTACAACCTTGCTGAAAAACTTTATCTTGCGCTGAGCTAGTAAATTGCAATCGTATGGTTATATCTCAAGATGATTGCATCTGGGATATAACTTAATTACATAGCAATCAAGCATATTAAGTGCAATTTAAGGACTGCATGTTTTAAATATTACTCATACTAAACTTATTAGTTATTACCAATATGATCACAGTAATTGGATTTTTAGGGAGCTCTGCATACACTAGATAAAGATAGAATATTAGAAACCTAAGAGAGGCTAAGAATACCATTTGTTGAATCAACACTATTATATCCACTGGCGGGTAGATCATCATTGGTCTTCGGGCTTGCAGTTTCATCTTGAATTGTTGAACAAATGAGATCATTGTAATATATTTTTTCTTCAATAATCAACTCTGCACTGTTTATGAAATGCATAAAGGAGTAAGAATGTAAGAATCCTTTTCCTATTTCTTGCACACAAAAAACACTCAAAATCATGCCTAGAAGCCCCTAAACTTGCAAAAGTGAAACTCTCCATGTTTATTTTAAACCAGAGTATATATGATTTGAAAGTTCTAAGTTACAGTACTTTAGAACTTCAATTTTTCAAGGCATCAAAGTCTATGAGACTGCAGAGAATTGATTTAGATTAATGGAAATTTAGCTTTCCATTAATATTGATTTTTTTTCTAGAAACACGAGAAAGAGATTGGTTGAAATAATAGTGAGCAAGTTAGCACACCTTCCGGGCTTATAAAATATTCCACATCCATCGCGCTTCTGCCCACCTCTTTGAATGTATATACTTGAATAACCAAAACTTTCAATATTTTTCTTATAGAAGCTATCATACTCATCCAGTTCCTGATACATAAACGTATACATAATATTAAATTGAGGACAATGATCTAGTGAATATATAAACCAATTGTAAACAAAAAAGATGAGTGGATTCAGTTTCTTTAAAGACCAAATTCATCGAATATTAGTTAATATTGACAAACAGCACAAACCTGTAAGCAAAAAATATCAGCCCCCAGTCCTTTTAGAACGGCCAGTGTTGCCTGAGATCTGGCTTTCCACCTGTTGCAATCGAAGATTTATATCCACAACTAGAGTCAAATTATGAAAATATATCTATGTGAAGCATGTTGAATGGATTTTCTTGACAACCATCAAGCAACAAATAATTTTAGAAACACCACTCTCGACAATACCATTCATTGTTGGTGCATGTCTTTGAGAAGGGCACTGTCATAATAGTGTGAGTAGCATTTTTTATATTGTATACTGTGTGATATGATCATCAGCTCGTTATTATAAAAGATGAATTATAGTTTTGTCAAGGTTGATTAATTAAACATTCAAGAGCCTTGTGATAGGACATGAACAAATGTGGGTAACTCGTAAGCAGGCAGAAAAACATGATTTGGAGAAGGAAAAGTCAGTGGACAGGTTGAGCTAGTTGCAGCAATGAAGAGCAATGGGAAAACATTAGATGTGCTTCCAGGTTAATGACAGCTTCAAAATGTTTTATTGGTTGTGTATTGTATAATGTAGTGTCATTCTCGTAGAAGATTTATTTTATGCAAAATAATAAATCCGTATCATTATTATCAGCACCTTAATCCCATCTAGTTGGGGTGTGCGGCATTTAATTTATAGTGCAAACTAATTGTATAAATCAATTTTAACTATAAATTCATGCAAAAAAGCAGTGACAAATTCACAATGTTTTCTGCTGGACTCCCTAGTAAATTGAAGCATTCTTACTTTCTTTCTTCAGTTCCAAAATAGTCCCCATGCTTCCTTTCAAGGAAAGAGTGTGCAGTTCATGTTCTTTGATTCCTTTTGAAAAAACATCAAGTCAAACCTAGAAGGTCAAATGGGGCAGATGGAATATTCTAATCCTTGCTAAACAATACGAATTTAACCAATTGAATTGAGTCTATTATACATAAACACAACAATAACCGAGTTGGATCCCATGAGAGTAGGGAAATTGTGTGTATGCTGACCTTGCCCCGACTTGAAAGTAAAGAGGTTGCTTCCAAGAGACCCCGGATCAAGCAACACAAATAATATGAGTATACAGAAGAAAAGAACTGATATCGCAGAGCAAGCACAAAGCATACAGAAGCAAAGAACAAACTAATGTAAATGAAGAAAAAGCACCGCTAATCCGCTATGATACATAAAGAGAAAAAAATTACTTGGATCTTCTTTTCAGTAATTTTTAGTCAACAAATAATGATTGAATGATGTACACATACATCTCTGCTTTTTTCTCATAAGTGAGCAAAAACAAATACTTCAATACATATAATTCCCAAGCAATCATTTTGAATGCGAAAAAACGCTCTTGCCACCCTTCCGACCATGGCCGAGACAATAATGGTCCTACATTACGACTTGGTGATTAGTGGGTACACTAATTTGTATTGTTCAATGCTGCATTGTAAGTATTCCATGCTAATGTCAACAAATAAAGTAAAAAGTAAAAACACTTCTTTTCTATTTCATTCTTTTTCAACAATTGAGGTACATTTTGGTTTGCATTTACATGCAATGCATGAAGAAAATGTACATGCACCCAATTATAATGCTTTTTGTACATTCAGCATACTGGTGCCATCAGTTTATTAACCTCTAACCATTTAAATGGTGTTCCTACATAGGATTAGGATGGGTGTATTGTGTACCATTCTTGGTAGGCTATGAGTGTGGAACATGTTGCCAACAGTGAAGTCAAAATGAATGTAAATCAAGCAGTGGAGATGTGGGACCCAGACCAATCAAGAATATTTCGACAAAACCAAAAGAAAAATGTATATGAAACAACGAAGAATTTCTGATAATGAGAATTGGAACATACTTGAGACACGGCGGGGGAGAGTGTGGAAATAAAGCACTCTTTACATAGACCTGAAAATCAAGATATGAAATAATTGAAATTTGCAAAAAAACGTAGAATTTTTTATTACTACATAATCAACCAAAACCACAACATTACTTGAAAACAGCTCTGCTGCAAAAAAAAACCTATTTGACAGATTCAGAATGAGAATGGAGAAAATGTTTTTAATCTGTTACCAACAACCCCCTCTGACGCACTATATGTGTCTCGTTTTACCATTTTGTCTGTCTCACTCCATATTTTCCATATATGTGTGACTCAAAACCATTCCTAAATCCATACTAATTCAATATCAACAAGGCATATCTCAACGGGAAAACACTTGTAAGAAAACGAATCAACTGGTAGAACACAGCTGAGAATGACGAATTTATTCTAATACTCAACCATCTGCACACACAATATACCACTTTACATGCAAAAGCAAGTAATGAGTAATGTGAAGAACATAATACAATTCCAAAGTAAAAAAATACAATTTTTTACCTGAGCCAAAATGTTATATGACACAATACTGAACTTGAAACCTGGAAAAAGAAGAATGTAAACACATCTCAATCAACTGCTCCGAGAAAAAGAATCTATTCAAATGGATTTTAAACTGCAGAGTACTTCAAAGAAAACATACCTTCAGGTTTGCTAATTGAATCTATAGGAATGAACTTGGGACACAATGGTTCACGTGATGTGCTCATCTTGCTGAAGCAAATCGTTCTGCATTTTTCATGAATTCAAAAAAAAAAACCTAAACCATCTTTGGAATTTGTGATGAATTTCAGAATAAGGCCATACTTCACAGAGGCAAATCATCAAACACGTGATATTCAAAGATCATATACCGCAACAGTTCATACAAATCCACAAATTTCTGCCTGTGTGTGTGATTTATGTTTATAAATCATGTATGCATAACCATAGTGATGTTTGGTATGAATATGTGCGAATTAAAGCATATTGCGAATTGCTATACCTTGAAGGCGGGCGAGCTCTTGTGAAGCCAGGAAGCAAACGAAAGAACTTCAGCATAATATTTTTGAGAGGTGTGTAATTATTAAGTTTACTTTAATCATTCCTTCAACAAAAATTACTTTAATTTCACAAGAATTTAAATAGACGTGGTCAAATAAGTTAGGAGATGCATAATACATATTTATTCAATGATATTACAAATTAATAGCATAGCCCGGGGCAATAGCCCCTAATACCAGGATCCAAGAGACAGAATCCATGGCCCGAGTTTATCTTGAACATTAAAAAAATCCCTTAGAATTTTGTGAACGGGGTCCAAAACGAATAATATCCAAATGTATGGATATACGTCGAAAAAGCACAAAACCAAATGCAACTCTTTGTTGAGGTGCTTCTTTACGCAAATGAACATGCATGAACTTCTCCATGAATCCTGGGGACTCAAATCTGGTTGAATTTCCCCATGCAGAATTCATCCAGGGGAGAACTTTCCCATCCTGGGTGAACTTTCTTCGGGACTCAAATCTGGGTGAACTTTTCCATGAATCCTGGGGGAGTGAACTTTCTACAACTCAAGTCAAGGGAGAAGTTCATTGAAGTATTTTGATACACTTCAAAATAACTTTAATTTTAAAGCGTGTTCTCACACGATTCGTTCAATCTATCAAGTTCATTCATCATGTTCATATATTTTTTTTCATAATGCTAATTCACAATGTAACATTTCCTCCATACAAAATTCTAAAAATTTGTATCTCAATTTATTCACCAAATATATCGATTTGCACCCTAAGAATAGATTTGTCAAATTATAATAAATGGAATAAATTTAGCAAAACCATAATAATAATAATAATAATAATAATAATAATAATAATAATAATAAAACAATAATAATTGTATAATTTTATTTGGATGAATCTGATCTGATTTAATTCAATAAAAAATAACTACGTAATAAGTTAAAAAATAAAGTTAAAAAAATGCAACTCTAATGTTGGATTGAAGAAAATGAAACTATAGGTCAGATGGTCATTTTCAAGCTTAAAAAGGTTGAAAAAAAAGTTTCATCCCTATTTTGGTCGTGTGAGCCTCAATCTTTATTAAATTTGATTGAAAATATATCGAGAGAGATGTTTGGGCAAGAATTTTCTCACTACTGGGTGGTGTGATGTACGGAGTACTTTTTAGACTGCAGAGAATACTACACACTGCACGTTTGAGGTACAACGGGAGGAGGAGGTCTTGTGCAGTTATCTTTTTTTCTTAAAGTCTGTTTGCTACATAAAATTGATGCAATATGAATATTGAATTTGATAAAATTGAATTCTCCAATTCTAATTCATTTTTTTACATTACAAATTTTGAATTCACATAATTTTTTTATTACCAAACAACAGAATAATTGGAATTGAAATTTTCAATTCCAATTAAATAACTTGAATTTTGTGTATCAAATTGAGCTTTAGCTTAGTATTATTGACTGTATTACAATATAACATCTATTCATATTTTTTATTCTAATGACATATAATAAGGCAATGTCTATGTCTCTACCAAAAAAATGAGTTTATTTGTTTTTACAACTAATAAATCTATCAAAAAAATATCGTTAAGGCCACTGGTATTTTCACCAACTAATATGCATTTGTTTAGATTATACTCTCTCCCTCTAAAAAATTCTTTCTATTTGACTTTTTAAATATTTCAATGCAACACTTTAATCGTTAATATTTCTCTATTTATATATAGATATATATATTATAAAATATAATATATCAAACGTATATTTCAAAATAAGTATGAAAGTGAATGATGTAAGAGAAATCACCTTTAATAGGACTAAAACATTGTACTAATCCCTAAAATAGAAGTTCAAGTTTTTTATCCCCCAAGTAGGACATCTCCCGCCACATGCTTTGTTTCTCTCCCAATTTTGCCCTTTTTTTCCTTTTCACGTAAGACTTCAACATTCATCTCCATCTTTCCCATCATTTTTGTTGAAGGAGAGTGTCATGTTTGGAACAACACACACCCTAACTCCTGGAACCAGAGATGCTTTTATTTTTCTTACTAAATTCCAACCTCCAATACTTGATCTTTAATCTATTTACTAAATTAGATAGTTTTTTTATCTTTTTCTTTTTTATTATATTTTTCTATTCTTTTTTGTTTTACTTCGTAAAAACTATTTTATTTTTTTAAAAAATATTTTTTAATTTCTTCATTAGTCCATCCTTTTTTTCTTATCTTTTTTTAATGTACATGCAGTTATTAACTTCTTCTGTATTTCATTTTTTCTTGTGCGGCCCATTTATCCTTTTGTGTTTAATCACTTTAATTTTAAAGAAATAAAACATAGAGAAAGTACGAAAATATGATATGAGTTCCATGTTTTTATTCTCTAAATATGAGTTCACACTCTGATAATATGACACTCTACATAGGCATTTGTTGTAATAGACATGGTCATGCTTGGTAATATAATGTATTTTAACTCATATTTTGGGGATAAAAATATGAAACTTCTATTTTGTTATATTTTCATTTTTTTACTCCTACTTTAGAAAAAGTACTAACGTATGAACTCCATGTTTTTATTTACAAAATAAGATTTTGTACTGTGGTAATGTGACATGTGGACATGTGGTTCAGGTACTTGTGGTCTTGTGGACATGTAGCGCGACCAGTGAGGAAAAAATGGTTCTGTGTCACAAATGGCGAGGGGTATTTTGGGTATGGCGACGCAAATTAAGTCTTATTTGGGGGATTTAAGTTTTGGAGTCCTATTTAAGTATATTTGATATGTTTTAGTCCTATTTAGGATTTTTTCCCATGATGTAAAACATATATTTCTCTATGGTTAATGACGTATGGTTACAATTTTTTTAATCTAGTACTACTCGCAAATAATATAATACTCCCTCCGTCCCATTTTAAATTGCATGTTTGCCTTTTTTCTCCGTCCCAAAATAAGTTGCATGTTAGTTGTTTTCGTAAACTTTTAAAAATAAAATACCTAAACTACCCCTAAAATAAGTCACTCTTCTTCACCTTATCTTCTCATTTATCATCACCCCTCCTAAAAAATAATGTCAATTTCGGAAAATCAACTCTATTTTGTATTTTCCTTAAATATGCTCAAAAGTCAAAACAAACGATTTAAATTGGGACGGAGGGAGTAGGAATTTAGATTTTTTTAAATACCCCCTTCTTTCACTATTCAAAAATCACGAAAACTTTTTTTTATTTATCTGTTTTCATTGTGTATTTGATAAAATAAAATATTTTTCGAATAAAATCACGAGAACTTTGTATGTTTTGCACAACATTCAATTCGATGTATGTTTTTAAATATGTAATTTTTATTTTTTTTTTATTTCTATACAAATATTCAAATGAGATGAATTTAAAAAAAATCATGAGATAATACTTCATTTTGAGAAAAATTTAATTCATATAGGGAGGAGTACACATATTTAGGTGTTTGGCAGTGGAATGATTATTATTCGGAATTGGCACGGCAATATCCGTGCCTAACGCCGTGCCCATGCAACATACTGCATCGATCCGGCAACGGGTATTAATGATATTAACTTTTGGCACGGCGTTTCTGCGCCTACAGCCGTGCCAACCAGAAATACTACGTATATATGATGCCCTAATCGCCATTTGTTTCTCATTTGCTCCCCTAGCCGTCTAAAAAACCCTCCTCCAACCAACGCCGCCGTCCAAAAACCCCCACCTCCATAGCCACCAACCGTCCATTTTTGTCATTCGTTGACTACTCCAGTCGCCGGTAAGTACGTCATCCACATTTTTTTCCCAGGTACGTCATTCACACTTTTTGTAGATGTCTTCTACGCGGAGTACAAGCTTCCGTGGAAGCATTAAGGAAAGAGGAAGCTTGACAAATGAATCCTGAGTCCCTCGAGAGTCCCCATCCACAGGGACTACGTCGCAGTCAATATTTTAGGCACGAGGCGAGTCCCAAGGCGAGGTTGGGGGAACTGTCAATAATTCTCAATATGAGGGCATTCCACGATGCATCACTATTTCAGAACTAAAGGCCGGAGTATGTTTAATTTTTTTTAACATTCTCAATATGTTTAAACATAAAATTTAGAATAAAAATTAAAAATATTGAGAATGTTAAAATAATTAAACGTACCCCTTTAGTTCTGAAATAGTGATGATGCATAGTGGAAGGCCCTCATATTGAGAATCATTGACCGTTCCTCCAACCTCGCCTTGGGACTTGCCTCATGTCTGGAATATCGATTGTGGTATAGTGCCCGTGGATGGCGACTTTGGAGGGGCTCGGGATTCATTTGTATTGCGGAAGCTTCCTCTTCCTTGAATGCTTCCACGGAAGCTTGTAGTCCGTGTAGAAGACATCTACAAAAAGTGTGAATGACGTATCTGGAAAAAAAAATGTGGATGATGTACTTGCCGGCGACTGGAGTAGTCGACGAACGAATGCGGACCCGCATAGCGTTTCTCCATGTGGCATTTACTCTCCATCGACAAAGGCACGCTGCAATCCGTGCCACCTAATGCACGGTTTTTTGGTAGTGAACGGTTACCACGCTGACATACTAGCTACACGTACGTACCGTCATCACGTTTCCGTCACACTGCCAACATACTTTTGCATCACACTGTCATCATTTACTTATATTTTGATCTTTAAAGATTTAGAACTTCTATTTTGATATTTTCATAGTACTTTTCTACTTTTATCCATGGAGATTTTTTATATATGAATATTTAATTATTTAATACTATATATTGCTAACAGAACTTATGATTATTCTTTTTAAAAAAATATGATTATTTACCATAAAATGCAATATAATTTTATTTGAAATAGTCAAAAGATGAAAGAATAAATTAAGACAAATTAGGATCTAATAACATATAATTAGGAATTTAGGATAAGGATCTTCCCTATTCTTATCCAGAAATTAATTATTATTGTCTAATGAAGCACGCAATTGAGTTGAGATAATTATTATCCTTACAAAATATAATAATAATAATAATAATAATAATAATAATAATAATAATAATAATAATAAGTATATTTATTGTTATAGTTTGAAGTTTGCGGTCACTTTGACATCAAATTGAGAAAAAAAAAGAAATAGTTATAATACAAAATTGATATGCGTGCCGTATATATACGGAGTATCAATTATACTCCTCCGTTACAAAATACTTCCGGATTTCTCTTTCAAGATGTTTTTGTTTATTTAAATTTTACATCAATTATTTGATAAAATAAAGTATTATTATCATCATTTATTTTAAAAAATTATACTTTTGGTGTAATTTTTTATTAAGTATGTAAATTTTAATTTTTATTACTTCTATACAACTTTATAAATAAAATCATTTTAATAATTTATGATAAATAATATCACAAAAATCAAACTAAAACTATAATTTGAGACAGAAAGAGTATATATAAAACACACGCAAGGCGGGGTAGGATCGGCCATATCAAAATAACGATCTCTACGTACCTTTCCTTCACTCCCAAACAAATCTAAGAGGTTGAGCTAACAAACCAAACACTATCAAGTTTGGGGTTGGTTTCTCATTTTTTTTTAAAAAAAAATTGATGTATTTTAGACCATTAAAAATGGAGAATTAGAAAACTCCAACAAAATTTTATTAAGTAGATTAAAATAAGAAAAATGCTAAAGTTACAAACAGAAATATCACAAATATATCATTCATGAATACATTAAAAGAATAAAATAAACTCGAGTAATTTAAAAATAATGTTTATAAACAATAAATTTGTATATTTTGCTCATGAGATTTCTTTTTTTTTTGTATATTTTGTGACAAGAAATGAATTTCACAAAAAAAGCAATAAATTTGTATATTTTGTGACTTTTCAATGCCTGGACTTAACATTTCTCTTAAATTAATAGTTATAATTCACGAGAGCTCCTGTCTTGACTTGAGTGGTAGGAACTTGGAAGTGAACTGCCTAATATTTATGTCCCATCAAAAGTAAGTTGAGAAAGTATAAACATATATATACACAAAAGTAGAGTTATTCATAGTGGCAGATCAAGAAAAATACTCCGTATTTAACTGAGGGCTAAGGTTCCGAGGCAGCGTCCCCGATTTTTTAAAATGTTTATTTATAATGATGAAAAATGAATAAATTTAATTTCAAACAAATTTTCAAATAAGTAAAATAAAATATTTTTAAACTGAAAAAATACAATATAAAATATATCATAACTTAATGTAACTACTCTCATGCTCCGTATTATATTTTAAATATTTCTCTTTATATTTTATTTAAATAATTATTTTTTCTTTTAAACTAGAATCCATATTTTTGTGACCACGATCGAGTCCCAAACTCTTGAACTATAATTTAACAGTAATGCTATACTCACAAACAACTTGAACACAATCTTCACAAACTTGCTTTGTGTGTATTTAAATTTTTATTTTTAAATTATTTCAAATCATTTTATTCACTCGAGAAAGTGCATGAATAGCAAGTTTGTATCGCTTGTGTCCAAGTTGTTTGTGAGTATAACATTACTCATCATTTAAGGGTAGTGTGTAATTGATTTTACTCCATTAATATGAAATCAATTAGTTGATATTCTTTGTAATATATTTCCATTAATATCTTTGGCCGGCCGCCAAGGTTTTATTTTAGCGTGTGTCTATATATATACTCCAATATATATGGAGTGTTAATTAAGTATAGAAGGGAATTTTTTTCACGTCGTCGTTCCATAATTATTGTCAACAATAATTCAAATCTTTTTTTAAAAAATTTCTTTATTTTTTTTCCTTTGGATTCCCAGAAAGTTATTATTGTTAAATAATACTCCAAAATCCAGATGAAGAAATGGGTGTGTGGTTTTATATTTTCACTTGTTCTGATCATATCACAGGGGCGAGGCCTCCAAGTTGATATTACCATTCTGGACAGCGCCGTCGAAGAAGGAGCCGGTAAGTATCATTAGTTTCATTAATTATTTTTTCGATCTCTTTTATAAGCATTTTGCATGAAATTTTAATTTAATGGTGAGTTAAAAGAATTACTTTTAAATCAACAAAGTTCTAATAGAGCATAAAACCTTTCTCGAGCTTTTAATCAATCAAAGGTTTAAATACTTAATTAAATAAAAACCGTTAACATAAAAATAACTTTATTAAATTCATCTCATTGAGAAGTTTCAAAATTATAATTCATTGTACTAATGTGTCATACAAATTGAGAGTAATTAAAACTTAAAATTTATTCAATTTGATTTGAAAAAGTCAAATTGAACAAATACATTGGGAAGAAAGTAGTACTATTTATGAATCAAATTCTTATATAAGATGATGAATTAATATTGTGTTTTGATGGAAAACAGTATGCTTGGACGGAAGTCCACCGGCTTATCATCTAGACAGAGGATTTGGCAAGGGTGCTAATGATTGGTTGCTCCAAATTGAGGTTATTGTATTATTATCATAACCTCATGCTTTTCTATGGCCTAATTTGAGAACAGTGTTTTTGATAAGCGTTAGTATTTTGAATAAAATTTTAACGGTATAAATTTATTCTGAAAACGCTAACACTAATCTCTAATGTTGATGCCCAACGGGACCTATATTGCTTAATTGTACAAGCTAATAAGCTTTTAGAACCACTATCACCGTAATTTTTACCATTATAATTTAGCTTTTTTTATCGAGAGAAAATTCTAATCCACCGAAATTACCTATCCCGGCCTCTCGGATCAATTAATTACATAATTAGAATGTACTCGTAGAGTATTTTGAAATTTATTGCAAGAATGAATTGTATCAACTCATTGGCTCAACGAATATTCTTAGCTTGATCATATCATTACCCACAAATAATTTCTTGCCTGAATTTATTGATTATCCTTTTCTATATGGAACGTAATATTAGAGGAGTAATATTACTCTTGTAATTATAGCATAATAAATTAGCATGCTCATCAATTACTTTCAAAATCATCAATAACAAAGAATCCATCGATCCTAAAATTAACTTCTCAGTTTAACTTTCGTGGTCAAACTTTTTAAACTTTGATCGCATATTACCTATAAAATACATTGAATTTTCATATGAATTTAATACCAATAGATTCATTTTGTAACATAGTTTTGAAATATTTTACTTTTATAGTATATATTTATATATAAATAGAGAAATTAATGGTCAAAATATTGTATTAAATACGTGTAAAAAATCAAATGAGAAGTTAATTTTAGCAAGCAGAGAGTAATAATTTTTTTATTTTCAGGGAGGAGGGTGGTGCAATAGCATCATGGATTGCAGTACAAGGATGAGGACTCATTTAGGGTCCTCCAAGCTAATGCAGACACCCCTTACTTTTAGTGGAATTATGAGCAACAATCTTTCATTTAACCCATGTAACTCCTTATTAATTTCTTGTTAATTACCTAGTAATATATAATGAGTAAATTTAGACAAATATGTTTCGAATTTACCCTTCACACACAAGATTTCTATGAGCGTCACAAACGAAATCTATTTGTGACGCACACACATCCATGAAGGATAAATTTGAAGCTTGGTGTAAACTTTGATGCACCCCAGACATCACCCTTAAAGCATGAGAAAACTAATGAAAGTTGAACTTTTATTGGGATTTCAGATTTCTACAATTGGAATAGAGTTATGGTTAGATACTGTGATGGTGCCTCGTTTACCGGTGATGTAGAAGATGTCGACCCTGTAAGTCATAACAGTGAATTGTCTAGCTTTTATTATATTATCTTTGTCTCATAAAAATCTTCCAAGATGCCCTAATGTTGCAAAACATAGGAATCAATTCTTTTACTATAAATACCTTTCCAGGCCAACAATCTTCACTTCAGAGGTGCAAGGATTTTCAGGGCAATAATGGAGGACTTGCTGGCAAAGGGGATGATGAATGCAAGAAATGTATGGAGTAACTATTTAAATAAACATGGACATTATAAAAATACTCCAAATATTGCCGATCCCGAAATTAATTTCACACTTTTTTTTTCAAAACTATTATTTATGAGGATTGGCAAATCAGTAAATTATGTTGGTGTTGGTAGGCAATCCTCTCAGGATGTTCAGCTGGTGGATTAGCTTCAATATTGCACTGTGACAAGTTCAAGGCATTATTACTACCATTTGCTACTGGTAGAGTCAAATGCTTTTCTGATGCAGGTTTCTTTATTGATGTGTAAGCTCCATTTTCCATTTCTCTTCTTACACCAATAATAAGAGCATGATGAAAATCAGGTATAAGATTAAGTAATGAAATTGACATTTGTAAGCAGTTATTCGCAACCCAAAATAATACGGAGTATATGTATATAATCATGTCTCCTCTTGTTTTGTAAAACTTTTGAATTTTGACGTAGTTTTTTTAATACTTTTCCGTCCCAAAAAACTTTACCCATTTTGACTTTCATGGACTTTAAGGAAGTGTCGAAAAATAGAAGATGGGTGGGTAAAATTTGTTTAGATGAGACAAATCTTGTGAGCCACATCTTCATTACAAAAAAAAGTGTGGGAAGTGCTTTAGAACGTCCAGAAAGAGAAATTGGGTAAAAGAAAATTGGGACAGAGGAATTATATGTTCATAAATTTTACTTATTATTTCTACAGCAATTTTCAAATAACTATGAAATAATTTCAGTCAAATATCGTAAAACACAACCATAACTTCTTTTACGGACGGAGGGGAGTATTTAACTTAATAAATGTAAGGTGGTAAATTAACCCTTATTACCTTATACATTACCTAAATCCATAATCTAAACGGTATTTAACCACTTTTCCTTTTTCAATAACAAATTTGTCAATATTACACTATCTCTAAAATTGTTACAGGAAGAGCATCACAGGTGAGCCAGTTATTCAAAACTTCTACAATGATGTTGTGACCTTGCATGTGAGAATCTTTACTGTATTAAACTGTGAAAATATTTTCAATTTCTGTAAATTTTTGTACTCTCATTTTTACTACTGGTAATTAATTTCCTTCCATTGGCGGTCCCAGGGATCAGTTAAACATTTGAACCATTTGTGTACCACAAAGATGAATGATGGTACAAGTACTGGTAGTATGTGCTTCTTCCCACAGAATGCAGCTTCATACATTCAAACCCCATTGTTCCTTATCAACTCAGCCTATGACTATTGGCAGGTCTGACCATTTCTAAGAATTGTCCTAATACATCCATCGTGTTAATCTATTTACTTTGTTTGCTTGTGCTTCTATGTTTGAGCGGGGAGTCCCTTAGAAACAAACTTCTTAGAACCATGTAGGGGTAGAGTCTGTGTACGTGCACCCTTTCCAAATCCTACTTGTGGGATTTTACTAGATTTGTTGTTGTATCCTGATGTATCCATCCATCCCCACCCCCCCCCAAAAAAAAGAATACTATCACATCTCGAAATTCAGATCGCAAGAAAATCTTTTACTTTTCTTTTCGGGACGTCCTAAAATAAAGTTATTTTTCTTTTTAGGAAAAGAAGTGTGGTTCATTTCATCTCTCTCACCTGCATAAATTTCAACCACAATTTCTCAAATTCCTTGAAAAAGAGAACGGAACTTAGAGGTGGGAAGTATATGGCAATAAAAAAAGAAGAATGTGTGTAGGTCTGTGAGTCTGTCAATGGGACAAGGTTTCACCTCGGTATGGGACATTTGGTTTTGGGCCCGAACTAATACTGCCATACTGGTTTGAAACTTTTGTTTCCTACCCAACCCAACCCATTGGGTGTGTGTGTTTGTAGAAGTAAAATTATTAGTACTGCAAATTGAATTCTATTTTAAGACGGATAATTGATTTTGTTTCCTGAAACAACTTAATAATCTTGAAAACCAGGTGAGGTTCAGCTTGATACCTGACCATGTTGATCCCAGTGGAATGTGGAAGAATTGCAAGAGGGGTTTAGCTACATGCCAACCTCAGCAGCTCAACACCATACAAGGTAAAGTGCCCGAAAAATGTTGTCTGCCTTAGGTGGGTCCAATTGCACTTTTCATCACAATGCCACTAAAATTTTGACAAATGTGAGACTTCTTCCACTGTCATTGCACATTTGTGCTAGTTCTGTGATGCCAAGTCACTAGTCCATGGTGTAATGCCACAATAGCAACAAATAAACTTAGTAAAATCCGGCAAAAATAGAGGGTGTAATGCCGCTACCTTTGGTGGAAGTACATAGGCAATTAAGAGCAGGTTAGTGCTTAAGCATGTATTTAAACACACCAAAGCGCAGAGGTTTAAAATGTAAACGATTCAATCCAATACTAGCAATAAATTAATGAAAAATTAAAAATCATATCATATGCTCAAATTTAAAAAACCCTTTTTTTGGCAAATAAAATTTCAGGTTTTAGATTAGAGTTCCTATCAGCATTGGAAGGACTAGGACCTTCTACAACAAGAGGGTACTTTATCAACTCTTGTTATCTGCATTGTCACACTGAGTTGCAGGCCTTGTGGCACAGCCCCAACTCTCCAAGGCTGTTCAATAAGGTAAAATTATAATAGTGAGTGATATATTGTGATGTTAAATTATACACAAAGAGACACTATTAGGATATTGTTTATATTGTACTCCCTTTGCCCCCATAAAAGACATTTCAATTGCTAAACTCGTTTTTGTCACACACAAAAAAGAGTCAAGTCTGTATAAAAGAAGCTAATTTTGATTAGATTACTCTCTTTGTCCCTGAAAAAAGTCGAGTTACAGTTTATGATGTTCGACTAAATTTATTTTTAATTTAATTGATTTGAAAATTGGTATATAAATTAAAAAGTTAAGTTATACACTCTGCACTTTCATCGTGGTTCTTTTGACAAAGGTTTTCGGTGTCATAACATAATACAAGCGCACTACGGTGCTCCATTGGGCACAAGACCGGGCCCAACCCCTTACCCCCTAGCCCCAGTCCATATCATCGATATGCAAGAATGGCGTACCAAATAAACGATAGGGGGTTTAGGGGAGTAAGACTTGGTCCCAGCCCAACGAAGCACCGTAAGGATCCCAAATGCTTCGGTGTCATAATATGACACCGAGGCTACGTGTCAAAAGAGTCGCGTCATTAAAATTATATGGAACAAAAGCTGACTTGGCTATATATATCTAAGTAAAAATGATAAAGTTTGACACTGTAACCTTATTTAGGGAGGCAGTGAGCATTAAAAAAAGTGTCCCACACAAATGTAGTAAGCCAAATTTAGTTAAACCAACAAATAAATATTACTCTGTAAAAATGTAGCTATATTTGATGATTTCTAATTGTTTTGCCTCACTAAAACTAAAAGATTAATTCCAAAAAAAAAAAACTAAAAGGTTGGGTGTTTGAAAATAGAACTCTTTTTATGGGATGGGGCTATTGAACTTGTGATAAAAATGATGCATTGTGCAGACCATTGCAGAAGCAGCTGGAGAATGGTTTTTTGACAAAGAACAGTTTCAGAAGATAGATTGCCCTTACCCGTGCAACAAAAGCTGCTTCTAGCATAATTCTTGATCTGGCCTCCATGGATGTATTATATACAATGGGAAAGAAAAAGTATTAGCGTTTGTTAGATAGTAAAAGCATTAGAGTTTGTTAGACAGAAACTTCAAGGCTATGTTTGGTTGGACATGAGGAGAGGGAAAGAAAATGTGTGGTGGAGACTGGAGATTAAAAGATTCACAAAAAATTAAGAACCTTCTATTCTCCACCACTCATTTTCTTTCCTTCCGCTCCCCTCCAACCAAACAAAACATAATTGTTTTAGCCATTAAAATAAAGAAAATTTGTCATTAATAATCTGAACTTTAAGCAATCAACTAATAGTAATCCAAACTTCAACTCGTTTCAGAATCATTGTGAATTTTAACACCTTCATGACTTCATCCATTTATGCACTGCGAACTAACGTCGTTAGTTCTCCATTAATATTTTCTTTTTAATAATCCGATTTCTTTGCGATCAGCCTACAACAATCCAACATCAACTCATTCTAATAACAATGTGAAATGTAATACACTCATTCACTTATGCTCCATGCCCATGTTCCAGTTAAGTTAAGTTCAATTCCGTTCAGTTTAAACTTTTTTCTTTTCGACTTATTTTTAGTTCACTTCATCAGTTCGTAAAAACAAAAATTAACTATAGTTCAGTCACATTCATTAAATTTTAATCCAAAAGAACGGCTTCTTAGTAAAATGTATGATTAATAGCAAGCTCAAAATAATTTCAAAATATTATCAATAAAACACTATTGTGCTTTGTTTTGGGTATCAATGTAAGTGTGAAGAATTTGCTAAAATTGTGGCTAATATAGCTGAATTAATTGCCAAAAGGCATGCAGTACTTTTTGTTTCTTAGTTGCCAGCAATCAGCCACTTTAATAATGTCTAGGCCTACAAGTATTCAGTCCATCTAAAAAGTTCACATTTCAAAACGTTTTTTTCCCATGAGAAAGTCCAACTTTAACAACGAAGGAAACTGCTTTTCTCTGAAATTAATGTGAATTGTAATTTTTTCAGAAAAATAAAGGAAAAAGAAAGAAAAGGTTACAAAGAAGTGTTTTAACTTAGATGACAAAGCAAACAAATTTTAAAATATAAGTAAGATTGACAGTTTTAAAGACTGTACCTTACCAAAATCAAAATGTTGATGAAATTTGACTCTTTTTCCCTGGGACAGAGGGGATAATGTTTTTTAGATGGAAATTTAGTTACTGAAATTCATATGAGACATCCAAACATCACAAATTTAAAGATTTCTTCGACTTAGTTGAGAAACAAGCTGGTCGAGAGCTGCCATTGCTCGAGTTGATGGGCCTATGGAGCCCTCATACCTGTGTATAGATAAGCACACAATTTAGTGACAGAAAAAGAAATTTAATAGAGAATACTGAAAAAAACATCAAATGCACAGGGTCCGACTGGAACTTGAATTGTGTATTAGTGATTGGGACGAAATAGAGAAGAAAATAGAGAGGAAGAAATAAAATGTGAGGGAACTAAAGAAAGTTTCAAAAACAATTTACTCCCTACGTCCTAGAAAAGGTTCCACATGACAAATCACACAATCAAGAACTTTTTTAGGGACTGATGGAGAATCAGTTTTAACTATTTGTTTAAAAAAATTATATTTGAGTATTTTTATTATGTAAAGGCTAAGAAGTCTAAATATATTGTAAGATTTTTATTTAAAAATTTATATTTTATGTTCTTTTGTATTTTTTTTAATGTAAACCCAAACATTAAAAAAACAGTTTTCCTTGGTTGGTTTGTTTGCTTTTCCTTCCCTACCATTTACCGAATTCCAAAAAATAGCCTTACAGTCCAATCAAGAGGAATGCTGCAGTTTTCATAACAATTACACCTTCACCAGCAGGTTTAGAAGTGTCCATGCTTCTTGCACAGAACCAGGTCTCATGAATTGATGTGACAAGATCTGTTAAAAACATAATTTTAATCAACCAGGATATACCAGTTTAAAGTTAAAATTAATGTCTTGAAAATATTATTGACAATATCAACTTTGCTCACTGTTTCCTAATGTGTTTTGATACACATAATGCTATACATAACTTGGATGATAGCTCCAAATTCTAAGAGCATTTAGGAGGTCTCCTTTCAGAGTTCCTGCTCCAGTAAACCATGTAATGTAGTGGTTCCCAAAAGATAAACAACATTATCAGTTATATTCACTGCTCAATGTGACAGAACTGGTAACTAAACCATAAGATAGCATGCTTTGGAAATAAGGGCATGTTTGATAGAGGCTATTTGGCTGAAATGGCTGGCTGAATCTGCTGAGTTTTTTGAATAGAAAAACTATTGGTAAGACCAATTTCATCCAAATAAAAAGTCAAAGGCGTCCTATTCTGCTTATTTTGATTATTCGGCTGTAAAAAAAAGCCAAAAATGCTATGACCCAAATTACTAGAAAAAATTGTAATGCAAATGTGGTAAACCATTGAACTCACATTGATTCTGCCTGAGACAAAAAAGCTCACTCTGGAGCTTATTTCTCTTAACAAAGTTAACAAGTTGACTCAATTCTGTAAGATCTGCATTTATCCCCTCTTGCTCTGCACTACATGAGATATATAATCAATTGTTTCAAACTCCTATATCTGATAGCCATGCAGTAACTTGAAAAATGCATAGTTAAGCGTACAAAAGACTCTAGTATTTTTTTTGTTCATCAGACTCTGTCTTACTCCCAAAATGAAGCCAGTATTTATTCACTTTTTTGGCTTTGGGGCATGATGGAATAAAGCAAATTGCCTTTTTAAACTGTATGTGTTTCTTTTAATAATTAAGTAGCAGTTAGTCAATGCAACGTTCAACGCTCATCATGAATCATCCGAAAAAAGCCACTCTGTGTTTTACGCAAAGGGGTCAGGCTGCGTATGTGATTACCTGTGGTGTTTGAGTCGGGGTCTCTTTGGAAATAGTCTTTTTACTTTCGAGTACATGTAAGGTCTACACCCTCCCAACCCTCCTCAGACCCTACTTTTGTTTTGAAAGAAGGAATCTTTATTTTCCTAAATTAGGAGTCTAGAGTATATACACTTTAGCCAAGTAGCTACATTTACAACAAAACACAAATGCACGCACACAAACACACGGACATAGGAGATCAACAATATTCAGCATGTTAGCATTAACGAAATTGATAAATCCTACTCAGTATTAGATATTGTTGATTTTCCATCATCTCATATGGAGCCAAAATTTCACCATTTTTTGGCTTTGGGGTGTGATTCTTTGACATGGTATCAAAGTCTTGTTGACTTAGAGATCATGGCTACTCACTTTTAAAAAGTTAATGTTTATTTGCAATGCTCAAACCAACACAACTGGTGGCACATGAAGAGACATGTTAAAATATAATAAAAACATTTCCAGACTTTCAACACAAACCTGAGCTTGTGGATGAGTTAGTTTTTAGGCAGATACACACATGGCAGCCATTGCATTTGTCAGTGCCTTTGAGGCTTTGACACAATCTTTTTAAAGAGCTCACATGATAAGAGCCGGCAGATGACAATCTTTAGAGCATACTTCTTTAAAACATAAATTTTTGTTCCCATGAACACAATATATAGTTCACATTATTCCTCGGCAGCAATAATTTCAGAGGGGGATGTATTGCAACAATCAGTCAGTCTGGTAGCCATGAAATCAATCAACTGAACAAAGACGAAGAAAAACAGATTTGCACTTACATGGTAGATAGAAGGCGAGACGGTCCAGTTGGATCATAATTTAGAAGCAAAGCAGCCTTCAAATGTCGATCTTAAATTCAAACAATCCACAGTATCAGTAAACAAACCATCATCGTCGTCGTCGTTATCTATAAACTCAATATGAAGTAGATCGAAACGAAAGCACAGTGAACTGGGAATCAGAACCATAACGGAGTATATGCATCACGACTCACCAGAACAACCAATGTGGTTAGATGCCCATTTGTCCCAGATCTTATGCACAGCAGCCCAATCCATTGCGGGCGCGAGAAACCGTCTGTGACCGGAGATTCGCTCAGACGCGGCCGCGCGGGTGGCGATAGAATATAAAGAGTTTTGATTGAAAAAAATTGAAAGATTTTTGGTGTTTAGGTAGAGATGAAAATAGAAAAGAAAAGTGGAAGGAAAAAAATGAGAAGTAAAAATATAGAGCAATGCTAGAGGTATACTACTAAAGGTGTACTCCAAAAGTACATCACCTTCTTTTCCACCATTCATTTTGATTTGATTTTTATTTATTTATTTATTTTTTGAATTTCTTGTCTTTTTATGTGGACAAAGAGGGGTGGGGGACATATGGGGTACAGGTGTACCCCTAGCATTTTTCAAAAATATACTAAGAAAAGAATAGACAAAATTTCTTCTATTTTGGTGAGGAAATTGAAAAAAAAAAATTTCTTTTTCTTTCAAATTCCTTGCACCAAACATAGTGTCACACCATGATTTGAAAGAGAAATGAAAGAAATTAAGATGGAAAACAGTTTGGTTAGAAAGAAAAAGAAAAGTTGATTGAAAAGAAAATAAAAAGGTAAAATTTTCAATTTTTTCCAGTTCCTCCCAATTATTTCTAGTTTCTTTCAGTTCCTTCCAGTTCTTTCAAACTCTCTCTACTTCCCAACCAATTACTCTAAAAATAATATATTTTAAAAGTTATTATTATTATTATTATTATTATTACAATTTACAACGTTTATGTTCATAAGTATAGTTTATCATTGTTTTTTCTTCAACTTTTAAATATGAATAAGACAATTTTTTGTATATTAATCTACATGATAAAATAGGAAAACATCAATATTTTAAACTACATTAACAAATTATAGATAAAATAGTTACATAAAATGTTTATTAATCTAACTTTATAGAAGACCTATCACTTTTTTGTTTATTACTCAAAAATTTTTTCATTTTTCTAATTTTTATAAAAAAGATTGAAAGTCAAAATAGTTTTAAAAAAAAACTAAAATAGGAGTAAAACATAGAAACATAAAAAAAAATTCTATGTCTTTATTCCAAAAATAGGACTTACAATGAAAAGAAAATGTCAATCATGAAAGAAAAAAATAGATTTGATTACATTATGTGATATGTCTGATATTTAAAACAAAACCTTGTAATATATAAAGTGTAATTACAAATATATTACTTATAATAAATACTGAATAAATAAATTGAGGTGCAACGTAGCTACAAAAACTTTTTAAAATTTAACATTATGATATTTATGCTAACTTTATATTATAATTATTTTTTTGCAAAAGTAATTTTTTATATTTGAAAAATAACAATACTTTTTTTTATCTAAAAGGCATTAATTAAAATCACGTGATGATGATGATGATGATGATGATAATAATAATAATAATAATAATAATAATAACATAGTAATAATAATATAGTAATAATA